AGAAGAAGATTTTTGAAATATTGGTTAATTTTCCCTTTGGGGCCCCACCCTGGCCCCAGGGGTTGGGGTAGGAATCTCAATTTTACAATTTGAAACCATCTTCCTCCAAGGATAATTCTCACCAAGTAAAAATAATTTCCTACAGAAAGTTGTCAAAATATACCCAAAAGTGTTAATTCCCTATATAAACTATAGTAAACTTTACCCCCTCCCCAAGGGAGAATGAATTCCTGGGGGGTCCTGAAATTTACAATTTAAGTAAAGCCCCTGATGATTTTCTTTCCATGCAGAGAATATGACTGTAGTACCACTGAGTCTGGAGACGAAGATTTTTGAAATATTGATAATTTTCCCTTTGGGGCCCCGCCCTGGCCCCAGGGGTTGGGGTAGGAATTCCAATTTTACAATTTTGTAGCCTCATTTACCAAGGATGATTCTGACCAAGTTTGAAAAAAAATCCATCCATTGGTTCTTGAGAAGAAAATGAAAATGTAAAAAGTTTACGCACGACGACGGACGGAAAGCGATTAGAATAGGTCACTTGAGCAAAAGCTGTCTGATTAAATTATGATGATGCTGCTATTCAAAATATTTATAGTAAAATTAGATGCCCTGTACTGCTCTTATTTTGTTTAGATATACTTAAATAGCCTCAAAGTGACTTGAACCTGAATGACTTTGACATTCACATTTCTGTAAAGTAGAATTTTGAGTGCTAGAAAAGACTCCACTTTGAAAAGCTATAACAGAACTGTATATGGGGATCATCAACTAAACTTCTAAAAGCATTGACATACTAGCTATTAACTGTGTTCTTATGTTGAAATAGACATTTTCAAATAATGCATTTTAACGTTTTTAAAAACTTAATTTTTTCTTTTTCTTTTCAGGCTTTTATAATAATTCATTTCCTCAGCCCATCAAATCATTGAGGAAACCAAGGGTTGTGGTGCTCTGGAATTTAACCTCAAACAAGTAATTATATAAGTATTTTTTTACAGTCCCCTTTACTTTAATCTCTTTCAGTTGTTATCCTATAAAACACAAAGTTTAAAGTAAACATTCAAACTTACACACCCAGCACGACAATGAAAACAAATAACAGGTAAGCCCACAATTGTGTTGTTATTTCTATTGTCAGATACAACATAGAGTTGTAAACAAACTTACGTTAAGACTGGATTCTTACAGATACAACAGAGTTGTAAACAGACTTACGTTAAGACTGGATTCTTACAGATACAACATAGAGTTGTAAACAGACTTACATTAAGACTGGATTCTTACAGATACAACATAGAGTTGTAAACAGACTGGATTCTTACAGATACAACATAGAGTTGTAAACAGACTTACATTAAGACTGGATTCTTACAGATACAACATAGAGCTGTAAACAGACTGGATTCTTACAGATACAACATAGAGTTGTAAACAGACTTACATTAAGACTGGATTCTTACAGATACAACATAGAGTTGTAAACAGACTTAGGCTAAAACTGGATTCTTACAGATACAACATAGAGTTGTAAACAGACTTACGTTAAGACTGGATTCTTACAGATACAATATAGAGTTGTAAACGAACTTACGTTAAGACTGGATTCTTACAGATACAACACAGAGTTGTAAACGAACTTACGTTAAGACTGGATTCTTACACGGCTGGAGTGTCAGGCAACAGCAATCAAACTCCTGACAACCAAGAAACACAACTGAGAGCAATTCATCTGGAAAATTGCTATAATGCTATAATAACTTCAACCAATTAAATATCGAGGGAGACTCAAATTTTAACCTAATTTTCAACTTTCAATAGAATGGCTTAACTATGGCACTTTATACTATTACTTTGTCAAGTACAGGTCACAGCAAGCATTTGTGAGACATTTTCAGATTCTTCATATCCGTTACACTCCAACTAAATAAAAAAAGGTTGAAAGTGACTGTATTTCAGTTAATTCTGGAAACACTGGTTGTCTATTGTGTTAGTTGAATGATCTGTAACAGGGATAACATGTAAGATTGCTAACTAAGGATCTCAAACTATGGTACATATCAAAGTATTTACATGTTGCAGTTGATAGAACGTGGATAAAAACGGGCTCTCATTACGATATACCTTGACAGAGTCTTTGCCCAGTCTCATTTTGTTGGTGCCATAACCTGAAGAGGATGTATCTCTTTTCCTTTCATGGTAGGAGTACACAGTTCCTGCTGTGCAGTTTTTGGAATGACGTGTCATCTTGCCTTCTTATCCAGTTTCTGCTGAAAAAATAATAAGAGCTAAAATTTCTAGGAGAAATATCTCAAAGCATTTATTTTAAGTTGCAGTAGAATCAGTTGCTGGTATCATATTTGTTAACCAGTAATGTTTTGTGCTATAGGATCAATGACAAATGCTGTGGACTTGATCGGGATCCAAGATCTCGACTCAATAAATCTAGATAGACAACCTACAAACTGAGCTACGTAAATTAAACCTGAAAGTATGCCATCGACTTTGTCTAGATCCCAGACCAGTAAGCATTTTCACAAAGAATCGTTCTAATTGTCAGTATGTTAGACACTCAAAGTGACATACTTTCCCCTAATGGTATTAGTATCTAAAATATTACATTATATACAAGCAAATGCTCCGGCCCTCTACAAGCACTACCCATAGTCGGATCCAGTCGGGGGTCAAGGTCATTTTCATTCTCAAACTTTGTTGGGCTCTTACCAACAAAGCTATCTACCAGCCACAGATATTAAGGTCGGGGGCACATTCCCCTACCCCCCCAAAAAAAGGTCTCAAAGTGAATACTTTTGAAAGTTGATCTAATGTTTTCAATTTTTTGTTACTAGCTGGAATTGTTTTTTTCACAAGTGAATATACAAACTCAGAGAAAAAAAATCTAGCTTCGCTAGGCACTGAAGATAAAGTACATGTATTTAAACATTACAAGAACAGGACATTTCTGTCTAGCTCTACATTATCAGCAAATCAAAACCTACATGAAATTCTTCTATAACTAGTTTGACATTCTCTTATGATTAAATAACAAAAGGTAGCAGATCTAGAAAAAGCACAGGTGTCAACCTCTGAAACCTTCAATGAGAGAGATATCCCTCAATCCACATTTCCGATGAGGGAGAAAGTGCTTGAAATGTGACTGAAACTGCTCTACTCAATTTATCTTTCACTTTTCATGTATCAAAATAACTCCAAAAATCATTCCTTTATTTCTAACACGCCTCTTATGATCATTACACACACTCTGCAGTAACTAGGTCATTTGACCACAGGATCTAGATTTTGAGTTTGTGTGAGTTTGGACTTGAATGAGGGAGTTTCTAGGGAAAAGGTAAATTTTAATCAAAATGATGGAGTCTCCCTCTGATGAAGGAGGGTTGACTGCTATGAGAAAGACCATATACAAATAATTTGGCAGACACTAAAAATCAAACCCAGAATATCTACAGTTCTGTTTCTCTTTACAGCTTGATTCATGTTTTATGTTTTTCAGAGTGTGATTATAAATAGTTGTAAGGGGTTGGATACTAACTTTTTGTGCGTCAAAGTTTTATTTCATAAAAGACCAAATTGTCTCGCTTGGAAACGATATTTAATCATAAGTTAGTGGAATGGAACTGCTTCAAGTGCTAAAACAGGGTGTGTGGGAAAGTTATACATCAAATTTGATTAATTACATTATAAAAATGCACCAGAGCGCTTCTAGATTTCATATTTCCCCCCAAGGACGGTATCCCTAAGGAGCTTCATACTTTCAGTGGTACCACACAGGCCTCTCACCTGTTGATTTGCACCACCTTCAGCAGGAGCATTTAGGGGAGAGTGGGGCAAGTTTGGCCCTGGGGTATGTCAGGCCACTCCTGATATTTAAAATGCCAAATATTTTCCTTTATACTCAAGCAACATTAAGTATACATTGGATGGATAAATGAATTAGCAGATGTATAAGAGTGTTTGGGGTCCAAGGTTCGAATGCTAGCCAACTCCATGTACAGGGACCATAGAATTCGTTACAGCTATATTTGGACCTAAACGAAGGTGTTCAGCAGGTTGGGCACAACGGCGCATAATGGGTAATAATCCTGCATTTGGGTAACAATTTTATTACTGAAATGGGGAATAAAGTGAAATTAAAACACACGAAGTTCTTTTAAACACTTGGAGCAAAAAAGGGCGTCATTTTGTCAACTAAATCAAATAAATAACACAATGAAGTACATTTGTGCACAAAAAATATCAATTCTGATGTCAAACTTTTTATGAAAAGGACAAACCATATCACTGACTTTGTTCTCCATTGACTTCACATCCAGTACAAATGTGATAGGTGAGCATGATTTTTTATGTGTGCTATTTATAGCTACTCTACAACACACTATAAGCAATGGAGGTGATACAATTTGCCATTTTCACAATTTTTTACATGTTTTGGGGGTTTAAATCGACTTTCGGTAAATACAGCTGTATCAAATTCCTAGGTCCCTGTGGCCTTCCGTTACAATATCTAGACAACAGAAGTCTGAACGCAGTGTTATGAACTGAAAAGTAAATTATTTGTTTAGGGATTGTCAGATAAACACAAACACAGACCTTCTATTCCGTTTCAACAGGTGCTTGAATTTTGCGACGTTTTAGCGTTTGTGTAAAACGTAAATTCTCTGCTACTTTTAGAGCGTTTGGTGACATTGATCATGAGTACAAACTAAAATTCGTCGAGAAGAGGAATATTTCAGATGTAAATAAAAACGTGCATTGACCTTTTCCTGACAAAGAACAACATATTACGATGTTTGGACTGATTATATCAGGCCGGTTGGTAAGTTGAACAATCTTGAATGAGCTAGATGACCAATCGTTTTGGGATCTAGACTAATACTTTCAAAACGAAACATTTTTTCCGGATTTGTTGCAAGAAAGTAGTTTGTTTACAGTAATTAGTGATCTGGTCAAGTTGTAAATCTGCATGGCGTAATACGTACATTTGCCATGTGTTTTAATATTTTACAATATACAATTTTGATTTGTCATTTTGCTTTGATTTGTATTAACTCCATTAGAAAATGATTTTCCAGAACTTTAAATATGACGGATGTCTTATCCTGGTGTTAGGGAATTCGAAACTCGGGCTAATTCACATGAAAGCATCAACAACATCAAAGACAATCACACAGAACATTTTAGCTTCACAACAGTACAGGAAAAAGACATCACCAAAATAGTATTCTTATGATATCTGCACTTGCCTAAATTACCTGATTTAATCCCAAGAAAAACTATCCTCAGAATTAAAAAGGCCCCAGGAGTAGATCACATCAGTGCAAAACTCATAAAAAGCAGGACAACACTCTCTTAGGTTGTCACCGCACATAACAAAACTTATTAACACAACTATCACTTCTGGTTTCTTCCCTGGTAACTTAAAACGAGCACAAGTACAACCCATTTTCAAGAAAAAGGACAAATTTTTCGACCAAGGTTTTTGATAATCTTTTATCTGCTTTTAGAAAAGGATATGGATTCCAAACTATACTTTTAACAAGAAAATGCAGCTACTGGACACCAAATCTTTTTTTTTATGAAAATGACTTTTTTAACTGACAGTCCAACAACCTGCAGGTTTAATAAATTGTTCATGGCATTAATTTTGCATTTAGCAGTATAATCACTGAATATTCAATGTGACCGGGTGGAATGCTGTGTTGGGTGCCTTCGGCATGGTATTCCAGTTAGATGGCACTATAAAGTCGGCATCAGATCCACGCTATCACAAGGAGGCAAGCACGCCAACATACCCTGTCTCTGCATACACACACGCAAGCGACGGATACACTACACACATGGAGGCATGTCCTTAAATGACCTTAGCTGTTAATAGGACGTTAAACTAAACCGCTCAATATTTGTCACACAGCACACAAATGTACAAGTTTGAACACACAAATGTCAACGATCAGGTAATAACATCTTCTGAGAAAGAGAAACAGCGATTGTTACAAATATTTCTATTGATAATGTACCTCTGGATAAAATATCAACCGTCTTCTGGGTTTCTCGAAACTCTTACGAAGACACATTTCGCCACAATGCTGGTTTTTGGTTGTTATCACATATTCATATTCGTTTTATACAAGTGAAATGAATAATTTGTATTGAACGGGAAAACCATGAAATTTTCTATTTCTTAAATTTTTTCACATCACACCATGCACATATTGCTACATCAGAATAGTGCGTGAATGTGTAGCGTATTGTTTGAAGCCAAGTTCTTATGACTTCACGCTTGACAACAATACAGAGCGCCATTTTGAATGGGTTTTTACTGCAATTTTGCCGTTTCCTGCTATTATCTGGTAAGATTTCCAGACAAAAATGATATTAATAGTGTCGTTATGTTAAAACAATAATGTATGCTGCATAGGTGGAACACACAATCACTTATTCTGCCGTCGCTTCATCTAAACTTGAAACTGAAAACATACGCAGAGAATAGAATGTACTGTTCATATTGGACCATACTAAAATATTTCGTATATCTTCACTTCACTGTTTTTATCAAATGGAAAATTCATGAAATTTCACTAGTAAACTTTAATAATTACAGATTCTGTAGGGTTTATTAATATATTTTTGAAGACAGTATGCAGCCTTAATTTCCCAAAAGGCTTTCACGCATGGGAAAGCACCGGAAGTGGACAAAGTGTTTACAGATCAAACCCCAGCGGCGCTTTGCGCTACTTGGGGGTTTGAAAAAATTATTGAAGACTGGAAAAAAAGAATTTGATGAAAATAAGTATGTAGCTCTTATTTTAATTGATCTATCAAAAGCTTTAGACTACCTACCACATGAAATTCTACTTGCTAAATTATCAGCCTATGGTCTTTCGAAACCTTCACTAAATTTAGTAGAAAATCATTTAACTGACAGAAATCAACAAATTAAAATCCAAACCTCTTTCAACAGCTGGAGCAGTATCAGCTGGAGTGTACCCCAAGGCTCAAATTCCTCGGTCCACTTCTATTCAACATATTTATTAATGACATTTTCCTTCGTGCACAACACTGCCAACTATATAACTACACTGATGACAATACCCTATCACATTCATCCTCAAATCTTAACGAACATATGTCTGACTAGATCAAGACACAAAAAATCTCATTCACTGGTTCGACATAAACAAAATGAAAGCAAACCCTGACAAATTTCAAGCACTAGCCATAGGAAAAAAGACCCGGTCACAAAACATGTCTTTTAAAATCAATGACACCTCTATTACATACGAAGACAGTGGAAAACTACAAGGTGTTGATATAGATTCCCGGCTCTCTTTAGACTTGCACATCATAAACATTTGCAGAAAAGCCTCACAATAGCTAAATGTACTTGACAGAATTAGAAAACACCTAATCAGACTAAATAAACTCACAATATTTCACACCATTATTCTTTCATGCTTTAACTTCTGCCCACTCTCTTAGCACTTCTGCTCTGAAACAAATGTTACAAAAATAGAGAGAATTCAGTATAGGGCACTCAGATTTATCTATGATGACTTTTCTAGTTCTTACGATGACCTCTTGACCCGGACACACATACCTACTTTAAAAATTAGAAGAATGAGACAAATGGCAATAGAAACATACAAAATTATACACAAAACTGCACCCCCATGCCTGCACAACATTGTCACACCTAAAACCCAAAACTACAGTTTCAGATACACCAACATATTAGACAACCCACAAGTTAGAAATTCTACATACGGCATGAAATCCTACAGATATACAGATACACAGATACACAGCAGCCTGTATTTGGAAAATTAATCTACCCCACACATTTAGGACAACAAATAACTTCACTCACTTCAAATCTTTAATATCCTCATGGAACTCTTTAATATCCTCCTGGAACGGTACACAATGTTAATGTTCAGCCTCAACTCCATCACCCTCACTTCTACACACACTTCCTGTCTCCATTTTAAATCTATTTTATCAGATCAGTGCTATAATTTATTGACTATATCTCACGAAATCTGTTTTTTTTTAAATAAGCTAGATGTATTGTTCTAACGACAATGTGTAAAATGTGTCTATACTGATAATAGCTTGAAATCTGAAGTGTTTTTTTTCTCATTTAATATTTGTAATGTCTAAATGTTGATATATCAAACTTGTCCGAGTGTGAATGTGTTTGTATGTAACATGTTTGTCGGTCAAAAGCCCTATGGAGCTCATGTTATATGTTTTTAAAATGCCCACCGACTTTAAATATATTTTATCTTATCTTATCTTATCTTCCCTGATCTCTAAATCAGTAGAGTATATGTTATAGTAATTATGTTTTGATTATAAACTTATAGCAGTTATCAGAGATGTTATACAGTTTATGTTTTGATTATAAACTTATAGCAGTTATCAGAGATGTTATACAGTTTATGTTTTGATTATAAACTTATAGCATTTATCAGAGATGTTATACAGTTTATGTTTTGATTATGGACTTATAGCAGTTATCAGAGATGTTATACAGATTATGTTTTGATTATAATCTTAGAGCAGTTATCAGAGATGTTATACAGTTTATGTTTTGATTATAAACTTATAGCATTTATCAGAGATGTTATACAGTTTATGTTTTGATTATGGACTTATAGCAGTTATCAGAGATGTTATACAGTTTATGTTTTGATTATGGACTTATAGCAGTTATCAGAGATGTTATACAGTTTATGTTTTGATTATGGACTTATAGCAGTTATCAGAGATGTTATACAGATTGTGTTTTGATTATAAACTTATAGCAGTTATCAGAGGTGTTATACAGATTACTGTAAACTTATACCAGTTATCAGAGGTGTTATACAGATTATGATTTGATTATAAACTTATAGCAGTTATCAGAGATGTTATACAGATTATGATTTGATTATAAACTTATAGCAGGTATCAGAGATGTTATACAGATTATGTTTTGATTATAAACTTATAACAGTTATCAGAGATGTTATACAGATTATGATTTGATTATAAACTTATACCAGTTATCAGAGGTGTTATACAGATTATGATTTGATTATAAACTTATACCAGTTATCAGAGGTGTTATACAGATTATGTTTTGATTATAAACTTATACCAGTTATCAGAGATGTTATACAGATTATGATTTGATTATAAACTTATAGCAGTTATCAGAGATGTTATACAGAAAACTGTATAATGCACAACACCATATTTAAACAAGTATTATTACACTGAAAGTTCACCCTATTCATCACTATACCATGGCTATATATAATACCCTGGGCTGTGATGTCACCCTTTTTTTAAGGTTCAAACGGACCCGCAGCAGTTGGCCGAGACGCAGTTTGTGTTCAGTATCCCAGATGTGGACAACGTCAATCACGTGGTAGTCTTCCTCACGGGACAAATGGCGTTTCCAGAGCAACTAGGAGCTGCAGGTATATACATATGAAGGTGTTCTTTATGAACATTATTATGTAGTTTACCTATTTGACTATGGAACCATACAGATAAAAAAAAATCAAATGAGCATATCTTACTGTACCAGGCTTATAACTGAGCGTAAGCTTTATAATCAATGGAAAAATAATTTATGGCTAGTGGGTTTATTTACATAAAAAAAAATATATATATACACATCAATTATTTTCTGAAGTACAAATTGCCCAACCTTATATTAAGGATCCCTCTCTGGCTGAACTTTATTAATATTTTTATATAGAGTAACCTCCCCTTAATTTTGTTTTAGACCAGGACACTTCTGTTGACAAGGCAGCTCAGTCGTTAAAAGCAACAGAATAACAAGTTGAGGTCTAAGTTTTACACTTAGAACAATAATGTTGACTTTTCTTTTACCAGTATTTCATCTCTATTTTTTTTTCATAAAAGTCTCGCAGGGTCCTCTTTTCTTTTCAAATATGATTTATCAAAGTTATAGTGTTGCAGGAAAATAATTGTCACCCTGGTAAAATACTAGGCGCTTCCTACCGTCTCGGCTCGGGAGAATTTCTCTATAGCTCATTCAGTAGAGCGTAAGAGTAGTTCGCCAGAGGTCCTGGGTTGACTCCTGGCGGAGGCATTGAAAAAATTATGACCTCTGTTGCATTAAGTTTTGAATGCGTATTATGAAAAGTTCTTTTTTACACAACCAATAAGATTTTCTATGTGACCTTTCGATGACTAGAACAATATGTACGCTGTCACCTTCATCAGACAAATGAGCAGTGAAGCATATGCATACAAAGGTGTAAAATGTGTAAAATATGTACTAGTTGTCCACAAAATCGATGTCGTTTTGGCTACGCTGCAAGTGTATGTACAATAATTGTTATAAATATACTAAAATGACTCGATTCTGCTACGCTTTGTTTAATACTTGATCATAGATGTGCGAGAGTCTTTGAGCCCCCTCATCTCAATTTAGAACTGGCCCACTGCTGTGTATCCAGATGGCTTCCTTTATCTGCCACTTGGACAGATTGCTCTTTCTGTCCAATGCTTTGGAGTTATCCAAGTCGATCACATGATTTTTCTGTGCGGCATGGTCTGTGATTGCCGATCTTTTTATCTGGGACCCCGACTGCTTCTTTTTTGACCTGGTGAATTTCCTACCTTTTTGGGTTTCTGTATCTTTCCGGTGTTCACCGAGACGGACCCCAAAATGCCTTTCAGTCTCTCCAATATACGATGCGTCACAGTTTTTTTTATCCGATTTTGTATATGCATTCTGCAACGTTTTCTTTGTGTGTTTTTATCCTTAGGGTGTACTAGGATAATTTAAAGCGTCTTGTTGGGCTTCATGGCTGTTGCTATGCCATCTAGATATGCCGCAGTGGGCCAGTTCTAAATCGAGATAAGGAACTCAAAGACTCTCACACATCTACGACAAAGTATTAAACAAAGCGTAGTTGAATCAAGTCATTTCGGTACATATATAACAACTATTGTACATAAGCTTACAGCGTAGCCAAATCAACATCGATTTTGTAGACAACTCGTACACATTTTACACCTTTGTGTGCATACGCTTCACTGGTCATTTGTCTGATAAGGAGACAGTGTACATATCGTACTAGTCATCAAAACGACACAAAGAAAGTCTATTGGTTGTGTAAAAAGAACTTTTCATAATCCATACTTACCAACCTGAAGAAAATGTTCAGAAATTTTGAATGCATAGTTTTAGTTTTTTAGGTAGTGGGAGCTCGAGGGGATCTTTAAAGTAAAAATATTAATGAATCTTTGAAGATAAACCATATAGGGTATGTATACTGAACAAAAAAAGAAACGCACAAAGTTCCCCCCTGCAGTACACCTTAGATGTAAGGAAATAATGGAATATTTGGTCAGGTATTACATCAAGAACGTTCTCCCTTCTCAACAATCTACCCTAAAATCAGCCAAGCGTGATGATGTCATTGTGTGACTTTGTGAGCTTCTTTAGTCCAAATCACGTGTCGTGATCAAGCAAAGCCAGAATTTTTCAAACAAATAAATGGATACTTTAAGTTCAGCCACATTAATTTTCCACATTGGCATTTTGATTTCGCCATTGACTGAGATGCCACGCTTAAGGCAAATTCAGAGGGGTAGAGCAATTGCGATGTTGATGGATGGTCATAGCCAAACTGCTGTCGCACGGCAGTTTGGTGTTGGCCCGTGTACAATTAACCGTCTCTGTACACGTTTCCGTGCTACTGGGTTAGTTTCCGATCGTCCCAGGAGCGGTCGTCCGTGTGTAACGACCGCACAACAAGACAGGGCGATTTGATTGTTGCACTTGTGCAACAGATTCAAGACTGCTGTAGAGACTGCGTCGCATACCTTAGGTACTCTTGGCAGACCCATTAGTCCTCAAACTGCCAGGAACCGCTTGCGTGCCGAGAGAATCAGTGCGCGCCGACCTTATGTCGGGCCACATCTGACACCACGGAGGCGGCAAGTGCGTCTTGACTGGATGCACAGACATGGCCCGAATAGGTTTGGGATGCGTCGATGGAGGCGTGTGATGTTCACAGACGAGTTTAGATTCTGTCTGTATCGCTCAGACGGAAGAATAAGGGTATATCGCAGAAGCGGTGAGCGTTTCACCGACGCATGCGTGGTTGAACGCGATAGATTCGGTAGGGCTTCTGTAATGGTTTGGGGAGGCATCTCCCAACAAGTAAAATCCCCCTTAGTGGTCCTGGATCAAAATCTCAATGCCGTTCGATACAGAGACCAGATCCTCCAACCACATGTGCTTCTGTCGTGATTTTCTCATGGCAAACAACGTCCAGCCTCTGGAATGGCCCCCATATAGCCCTGACATGTCTCCCATTGAGCATCTGTGGGATGAGCTGGACAGGCGTATTAGGAAACGTCAAAACCCCCCAACTAACCACGCCCAGTTGATCGCAGCATTAACACAAGAATGGAACAACATTCCCTTAAGGCGATTAAATGTTCTCATGAATTCAATGCATAGGAGAATCCATGCAGGGATTCGTGCAAAAGGTGCCCACACCAGATACTGAAGTTTCATTTTGTTTTTCGCGGGTATCCCACTTTGAGTAACTATAGCTACTGATGACACAAGTGACGTCACAAAGACTTTTCTTCTACAGTATTGTAAAGAGTAGACTTGTCCCTTCATATTGATATAAAATTTTGTACAAATTTCCCAAAATATCATAGGCTATTGATTGCATAATTTAATTGTGCGTTTCTGTTTTTGTTCAGTTTATTTGAATAGAGCTGAGGAAATTAATTCAAAGGACTATTATGTATTGTTGGGGCGTGTTTCAAAATTCAAAACCTCTAAATGAACTTTCAAACGACTAGTTCTTTGATTTGAAATACTTTCCAAATACAATCATGAAAATATTTATTTCTATTTATAATTATTTTCGCCATGGTAACATTCAAATTTTTCTAATTCATGCAAATTTGAAGGTATGTTCAATGAATATTGTGATATTTTGCATAGTTTTTCTCCTGGAAACTATAGAGTGCATGCTTGAACAAACTTTATATCAAAGGGTAATGTGAAGGCACCTATAATAGACCTCTAGGAGAAATATAAAATTTGTTTAAGAGTGTGCTCTATGGTAGCTAAGAGAAAAACTAGGTGAAAATCTGTCAAAATTGACTAAATCTTCAAATTTCATTAATTTATGCAAATACTAACTGATTACCATGGCAGCAATAATTGAAAACATGAATAAATGTTTACATAATAGTACCGGGGAATTATTCAAAATTAAAGAAACAGTCATTTGAATGTTCTATCGAAGATTTTAATTTCGATGGATTTGGGGGCCAAAAAAGGCCAGAACTATATATACCAGGTAGTCCTTTAGTACTTGTTTGATTTTGCTTTATCCTCACAAAGGAAAACACTTGTTTAAAAAACCTCTTTAACAAATCATTATTACAGATGAAATATGAGCAGAGATTTATTTTCTAATGCATATAAATTATTTATTGTGAGAAATATTCCACACCTTATTTAGATGCAAAGAATTTAGTGCTTGATGCTAATGTTTAACATTATAAATGTCCTATTAAGATTGAAAATCTTAATCTTAACTATTATTTCAGTGTATTTCTCCTTCCCCAACCCTCAAGGACAATCATGGCAGTTATTGGGATGTATCTCTAACTCCAAGCCTAGTGCCATTTTCAAAATTACAAAGTTAAAACAAGGTAAGACACTGTGGGGTCTATAGCTAAAACAAGGTAAGACACTGTTGGGTCTATAGTCAAAACAAGGTAAGACACTGTGGGGTCTATAGTCAAAACAAGGTAAGACACTGTCGGGTCTATAGTTAAAACAAGGTAAGACACTGAAGGGTCTATAGTTAAAACAAGGTAAGACATTGTGGGGTCTATAGTTAAAACAAGGTAAGGCACTGTGGGGTCTATAGTGTTTCTATATGTATTCACATAACTTGTCTTCTCCCAACCCTCAAGGACAATCATGGCAGTTATTGGGATGTATCTCTAACTCCAAGCCTAGTGCCATTTTCAAAATTACAAAGTTAAAACAAGGTAAGACACGGTGGGTTCTATAGTTAAAACAAGATAAGACACTGTGGGGTCTATAGTTAAAACAAGATAAGACATTGTGGGGTCTATAGTTAAAACAAGGTAAGGCACTGTGGGGTCTATAGTGTTTCTATATGTATTCACATAACTTGTCTTCTCCCAACCCTCAAGGACAATCATGGCAGTTATTGGGATGTATCTCTAACTCCAAGCCTAGTTCCATTTTCAAAATTACAAAGTTAAAACAAGGTAAGACACGGTGGGTTCTATAGTTAAAACAAGATAAGACACTGTGGGGTCTATAGTTAAAACAAGGAAAGACACTGCAGGGTCTATAGTTAAAACAAGGTAAGACACTGAAGGGTCTATAGTTAAAACAAGGTAAGACACTGGGGGGTCTATAGTTAAAACAAGGTAAGACACTGCAGGGTCTATAGTAAAAACAAGGTAAGACACTGCAGGGTCTATAGTTAAAACAAGGTAAGACACTGAAGGGTCTATAGTTAAAACAAGGTAAGACATTGTGGGGTCTATAGTTAAAACAAGGTAAGACACTGGAGGGTCTATAGTTAAAACAAGGTAAGACACTGAAGGGTCTATAGTTAAAACAAGGTAAGACATTGTGGGGTCTATAGTTAAAACAAGGTAAGGCACTGTGGGGTCTATAGTGTTTCTATATGTATTCACATAACTTGTCTTCTCCCAACCCTCAAGGACAATCATGGCAGTTATTGGGATGTATCTCTAACTCCAAGCCTAGTTCCATTTTCAAAATTACAAAGTTAAAACAAGGTAAGACACTGTGGGGTCTATGGTTAAAACAAGGTAAGACACTGTGAGGTCTATAGTTAAAACAAAGTAAGACACTGTTGGGTCTATAGTTAAAACAAGGAAAGACACTGCAGGGTCTATAGTTAAAACAAGGGAAGACACTGCAGGGTCTATAGTTAAAACAAGGGAAGACACTGTGGGGTCTATAGTTAAAACAAGGTGAGACACTGCAGGGTCTATAGTTAAAACAAGGTAAGACATTGTGGGGTCTATAGTTAAAACAAGGTAAGGCACTGTGGGGTCTATAGTGTTTCTATATGTATTCACATAACTTGTCTTCTCCCAACCCTCAAGGACAATCATGGCAGTTATTGGGATGTATCTCTAACTCCAAGCCTAGTTCCATTTTCAAAATTACAAAGTTAAAACAAGGTAAGACACTGTGGGTTCTATAGTTAAAACAAGATAAGACACTGTGAGGTCTATAGTTAAAACAAAGTAAGACACTGTTGGGTCTATAGTTAAAACTAGGTAAGACACTGTGGGGTCTATAGTTAAAACAAGGTGAGACACTGCAGGGTCTATAGTTAAAACAAGGAAAGACACTGTGGGGTCTATAGTTAAAACAAGGTGAGACACTGCAGGGTCTATAGTTAAAACAAGGTAAGACACTGGGGGGTCTATAGTTAAAACAAGGTAAGACACTGAAGGGTCTATAGTTAAAACAAGGTAAGACACTGGGGGGTCTATAGTTAAAACAAGGTAAGACACTGAAGGGTCTATAGTTAAAACAAGGTAAGACACTGCAGGGTCTATAGTAAAAACAAGGTAAGACGCTGCAGGGTCTATAGTTAAAACAAGGTAAGACACTGAAGGGTCTATAGTTAAAACAAGGTAAGACACTGGAGGGTCTATAGTTAAAACAAGGTAAGACATTGTGGGGTCTATAGTTAAAACAAGGTAAGATACTGTGGGGCCTATAGTTAAAACAAGGTAAGACACTGCAGGGTCTATAGTAAAAACAAGGTAAGACACTGCAGGGTCTATAGTTAAAACAAGGTAAGACACTGTGGGGTCTATAGTGTTTCTATATGTATTCACATAACTTGTCTTCTGTTACCATCTATATTCAATGATAGACATGTTGTTTTATAAATAGAAAATTTAAATTACAGGTGAGTCATATGATTTAATATTCATGGTAACCTTAATATATTGGTGATGTAATTATCATATGCGTTTGTTAAAATTTTAGACAAAATCATTAGAATATATATATATATCTAAGTCAGTACTAATTAATTAATTACATGTTTTTCACTGATATTGAATATAACATATATATTTTTCACAAGCAACAATGATTTCCTAACTGCTCACATAAGCCATTGAAATTCTTGTTTCTAATCCAACATTGATGTTGATTATATATAACCCAGTGTAGGGTAGTACATATATATATACATATCCTAAAATAAGTCTTAGAATTTGTAGTGATGAGAAGGAAAACATAAATTGTGGGTGATAGATGTCTCCCCCACCCCCACAACCTACCCCAACCCCAATCCCAGTATATCTCTAGGGAAAACTGAAAAAAGTATGTTCTCCATTAAATCAGTAAAGAAAGGTATTAACAGGCCTTAAGTAAAATATTGCTTGTTTCCCCTTCACCTACATGCCTTCCAAAATATCCCTAACCTGAAATATTTTATTGATATATTATTTTTTTATAAATATTTTTGTTAATTGTTTAAAACAAAAAAGGATTGTACTCGTACTTCTGGTATATTCTGTTTGAATTTTAAGTTACCACTTATAGTATAAATAAAAACAAAATTGAAAAATATGATAATTTCCCTGCCTACCCTACCCCTGATTTTATGATGTGGGTCGGTAATGGAGAAACAAACAATAATTTAATGTAGGCCTCATAATTTAAAATTTTGCTTATGGTTTTGAGGAAGGGAGGAGTTCGGATATGTCTATAGTTAATATGTGATGAAAATTGCTTGTTAGATTTACTAACACAGGAATGAAGAAAGTGTACTGTAGAAACCAACATCACAGACGGACAACTAAGCAACTTAGTTAACCAATAATGTCATTAACCTTTGTTAATTACAGAGGATGGGAGTGTTGTTGCTCACCCGTTTGGTCAGGGTGGTGGTCCGCAGGCACATATGGCCCAGATAGGGATATCAGTGGAACCCCTCTCACAACTCAGTCAGCTAACTCCAGTCGCCCAAGCCAAACCATCCAGTGTGGAACCGTTTGTAGAATTTTCACAGAAAATGTTGGAGAATTTCTTCAACTATGCCAGTTCTTTTGGACTCATGCAAGCACAAATGACACCAAACCCTTCAGAAACCTATGTGCCACTTAGTACACTGCAATCATGGTTTCAAACATTTCAGAGACGTTTACAACAAAACCCATATTTTTGGAGGTCATGAATGCTATATTTACATACTATTTTTTATTTCTATTTTCTTTGTGGTTAAAATATTGCAATAAATCAGCTTAAGTCAAACTCAGATGTATCAAATACCCTTCCTAATTTGGGAATTACTTTTGTTACAAATGAATTATCCTTGACCTACTTTCAAGTTAACAGGGGTTAGTTATTATTTTCAGATGACTTTTTCTAAAGATTGATTACATCTGTAGTTCTGATATTTTGCCTGTATTATTGTGTTCTGAGGATTGACATTAACTGAGGTTTAGGTCCATAGGAGTCATTTGTCTGGTTAAACTCTTTCACTAAATTCTTCTGAATTTCAAATATTCCTTAGGTTATAATATTTTGCCTATAGCCTGCTTGAGTGAAGGTTTATCAAGTTTGTTCAAATTAAATATTTTTACCAACTTTCAGAGTCAAAAGGGTAAAATGATTGAAAATCTTCAAATGACTTCTTCTAAAGATTCAAATGATAAAGATAAATGATGTTTGGCTTTTGGCTTGCTGGGTTGAAGGACTATCATTTTCTTATAGAGATCCACAAAGTGAAGTGTAATATCTAACCTATAGTGTTAGCTTGCTTGCTATCAAGTTTGTTTTAAAACAAATCAGACCTTTCTGTCTTCGAAGGTCACAGATGTGATATATGTTTTCCAATAGCTATTTGCCAACACGTGAGGTTTGGTTTGTTAGTGCATTATTTCCTACATCAGGCTACATGTATTAACAGCTATGGTCATCTAAGGACGAACCAGGTTTTTCACAAAAAAAAACCCCACCAACCTGCAGCCAGTATTTGGCGACTGCCCCACCTCAAATCCAGGACCCAGCGGTGGCGGGCTAGTGACCGGAGTGCCAACTAGTGAGCGATACAAGCCAAGTTGGCCACAGTTCTCTTGTTATCTGAACTGAAGGTCAGAATGAGCTACAGCCATTGTGCTTTGTCCATCTGGCATGCACTGTTCATGAATTTTTCACATTTTAAAATTCAGAAATTCCACTAGATATGAGATATATTTGATACTTGCCATGAATGATCATGAGATGATGCACAGATCAAGTGTTATGTTTTTTTCAAGTTGGTCCAAAATTCTAGATGAACAACATGGCAGACTTTCTTAAACACACATTTTGATGTTTTCTAGTTCTGCTCAAGTGATTTAGATGAAAACTTACAGGAATGACCAAAACTGATAGCCCACAAAGTGTTGCGTTATTTTTCTGGTTGATTAAAATGTCCATCATGGTAGCTATGGGATAATCCTAAAATATGTTTTTGTGCAATCATTAGTTAAAATTGTTTTATCATTTTTTTTTATATTTTAAACTTCTATAACAAGGCTTTACATGAAACTAATCGGCAGTTAGTTTCGGTTCAGTACACAATGCACCTGTATGACACGTAAACTGTAGACAGATTCATGCAGCACAACCAGTCAAGTGTTCATTTGTGACGTCTCGATGACAAGTAAAGTACGTGATTTGTCACCTTCATCAGACAAATGATCAGTGAAGCAATATGAAATTGACGTTGATTCAGCTATGCCATAAGTGTGTGTACACTTAGCTGTTATACATGTGTGAAATGACATATCAAACAGACTAATTGATTTCGCTATTTGTTTAATACCTGTTCATAAATGTGTCTATGACAATTAATTGGTTGTCTTCGTGAACTTTTCTACAGTTCATACTTACCAACCTGAAGAAAATGTTAAGAAACATGATGGGTGCAATTGTTTAGATAATCCCTGTAATAGACTATAAATAGATATCTGGATCAGACACTCACTGGCTAGAACCTCTGTGATGCGCTCTGGCCTGTCATCACCATGGCACATGTATAACTATCTTTGGCTGTCTATATTGACTGCTATCACATTCAAATTGTGTATCAAGATTGGTATTCAGGGGGACACAAATACTATTTTTGATGAAGCAAAATGTATCATTGGATACTTTTTTGATGGTGTATTCAAATAGCACAGGACAGCAAAATGATTTTGTGGCCATGTTGGCAAAACAGGTTTTAGATTTGTTTTTGCAATTTATTTGTGAGGATTTAATGGGAAGACCTACTTTCAGAGATCTCTACAGAGTTATCAAGGGTTTGTGCTTATTTGCTTTTGGAAATTATTGAATTCTTGTTGATTTGTTCCTTGGTAAGCTTCAGCATTATACCTTTTATAGAACTGATTTATTATTTCTTTCAATCTTGAATATTTGTGCTGGGTACAATACAAATTAATCCACTGATTAGCTATTATTTACACAGAAGTGTTGTAGATAAAATTGTGTTCATTTAAATGTTTTTGAAATAAACACCTATGATGATTAATAAATAATATATGCAATTTCAGACTGTGAATGTATTGTTTGTTTGATGTGTAAGTTACATGCATTCTTATATTAGTTGTTGTAGAAATGAAGCAGTTTTTATTGGAATAAAACAAACCTTCAAGGAATAGATTTTTTTGGTCAATGTAAGGGATTTATAAACATTATTAGGGGAAACCTTGTAAAGTAGATGTCCCAGCTTAGCACGAAAACCTTGTAAAGTAGAGGTCCCAGCTTAGCATGAAACCCTTGTAAAGTAGATGTCCCAGCTTAGCTCGATGTCCCAGCTTAGCACGAAAACCTTGTAAATTAGATGTCCCAGCTTAGCATGAAACCCTTGTAAAGTAAATGTCCCAGCTTAGCACGAAAACCTTGTAAAGTAGATGTCCCAGCTTAGCACGAAAATCTTGTAAAGTAGATGTCCCAGCTTAGCTAGATGTCCCAGCTTAGCACGAAAACCTTGTAAAGTAGATGTCCCAGCTTAGCATGAAACCCTTGTAAAGTAGATGTCCCAGCTTAGCACGAAACCCTTGTAAAGTAGATGTCCCAGCTTAGCACAAAATCCTTCAGTCACTCTGTTTTCAACATTCCAATCAAAATGACTTCTTCTTTTATCAAGATACATCCTAGAGTCATGAATTTGGCTTGTAACCGTTTAGAATTACAAACGAATTAATCTTACTCACTTTTAATGTCACAACGGTGAAGTTTGTTAAAGTCTTGTCCTACGGAACCATAAGATCTCAGTCGTTTTCTTTCTAGCTTGCTAGAGTGAAAGGATTTTTTTTTTTGTATCAAGTTTTTTCAAATGAATGACATTGGCCTTTTTTAAGGACCACAAGAGTCAATTGTCAACATTTGCCACACAACCATGATGAATATCAACATTAAATTATCTTACAATTCTGTATCTAATTAAGATGAGAATCTGTCGAGCATGTTCAAATACTTTGACCTACTTTTCAATTAGCAGGGGTCCTGTTAAAAAAGCAACATAGAGTGGTTTCTTCAAAAGTGGTTTGCTCCCAAAAGGAATCGGTCATATTTGTTGAAATACAAATTGAAAATCCACGTTTAAGTTAACAAGAGCTCAAAAGTTTAGAATCATGATATGGTCTGTAGCCTCCTGAGATATACCCACGTTCAAGGTCACATTTGTAAAATGTGTTAAACACAAGAAATTAAAAACGTGATAATTTAGGGCACTTAAACTTGTACTTCCAAGACCAGACAACAACTTTGTACTGTTCTCGCCATTGCTGTCTTAGTTATCCCTAGTCAAATATATTTTTCAACGGCATTTTTGCCATCTCATCTTTACGATTCATTAACAAATAAATGAGATCCTTAAATCCTAAAATTATGATTTTTTTTCCAACGGGAGGTTTACTGCCAAGAGGGAACGAAACGAACTTCATTTTAGCTGAGAGCTATTATAGATATAGGCTGTCGCTAATACCACCCGAATGTTAACAGCCACTCTGATTACTATAAATGGTTGTACCTATATTTCAGGTCAGTTTTCATTATGTTCATATCGTTGTGTTTCGTTATATTTGACGAAATAAAATATGTGAAAAACTTGGTTTAAAATGGCAAAAATGCTAATAAAATAATCGATCTGCTGATCTCGAATTGTTTCTGAAATAGAGATACATTATCGCTGGTTGCATTCAATTTATATTAATTCATGACTACGCGCTAGAAAGGTAATCGCTAGGTATGTGCAAGAGATTCACTGGAAGTAACTAAAAAAGGAAGAAGAATAAAAATAAATACATGACGGCAAATTTTAAGACAGTCGCCTCTCACGAGTTGCAATTAGTGTATCTGAAAGTGTTTCCAAACGTTGTCGAGAATAGCCCCTGCATTCTATAGGAGTTCTTCAGGAAAAAATACTAAGTAAATAGGCAGGAATTACATCTACCTGACATGGTTAACACACACTATGCCTACAATACACAAGACAAGACATCTTGTGACCAATAACATTCAAACACGGTGTTCCAATATGTTGCCTGACGATAAAAGGATAGATGAATGAAAGCTTATGATAAATCGAACTTACCTGGCAAAGCTTAACTGAAATCTGGATGATTAAGGAATAAATTGTGTTACCAACATTACACAATTGTTGACCTTCATTATACTAAAAATAATAATAACAAGTTCTAATTGTAATGGTCCCCCAAACTGCCCCTATAGTCGCAAAGATGTGAAAAATACACCTACATAACAAATTTGAGCAAAATCGATCAATATTTAATTTCGACCATTCAGAGGCCGTGGCGGCCATCGCGGATGCGCAGCTGCGAAAAACGTGTCTTGCACATCTAGGCAGACACCCCAATACTCATGTGAAGTTTCATTGGAATCTAACAAAAAGTTTCTGAGAAAACGCGCGGACAAAATGTTAAGGTAAATGGTACACTCACAATACCTGAAATAGGAAACCATACACAGAAACTTAAAATCGCTATTTAGCGAAATATTTAAAGTTCGAAAAGCGCTAAAATTAGAATACCATTAAAATATGTAAATTATAATATATTTTATATCCGATATAGGTATCGGCCACCAAGTCTGTAAACTAAACAAGGGGGATAATGGGTACAAGTTGTAAGATGGACCACAGCGATTTCACGGATTGGAAGAATGCACAGTGTTTGATGATGGGTAATTCTTACGTGTGTCACAGAATAGCGATCGGTATCTTTTATTCTAAGGTCTATGGTAAATGTGCGATGAAATGATTTATATTTTTATAAATGTTTTTATGGATGCTCGACCGTGGTCGGAACTTTCTTTCATGGTTAATTAATCGATTACATGTTTTCGAAATTTTGAGTTTTCAGCAATTTTGTTTCTACTTTTATTACAGCATATGGATATTGAATCCAATCCTGGCCCGGGGCTTGGCGAGCTTTCGATATTTCACCTTAATATAAGAAGTGTAAGGAATGAATTGGATTATATCGAAGATATAGCCGGTGAATATGACATATGTATAACAGAACTCATTTAGATGACCAGGTACCTACAGATGACTTACTTATAGCTGGATTTCATGAACCTTTTCGACTTTGCTGGTGGAGGTGTTCTGGTCTACACTAACAATCTTCTTAAAGTAAACCGTTTATCGGCATAAAAATATCCCGGCGATGAGGAAATTTGGACAAATGTCATCATTCTCGGAAAACCTGCGTGCGTCTATTAACATTACAATGCTCTAGATATCACACCAAATATTATAGTAACTGGTGATTTAAATGTCGACTTATTAACTGCATCTACTAACCATGTTCTTTTTGATATTATGAATTATTTTAGTATAACCAATGTCATAAATATCCTGTATTGATTCTTCTGTGGTACCAGTTGATAAATCTTTTAGGGACCATGATGGTTGTACTGCTTGTATTAAATTAACTTGTGCTTTTAGATCCATTTATAAGCCTAAACTTTGGCTGTATAAGAGGGCAGACTTTCAAATGTTTATTAATCTTATTTCTAATTATAAATGGATCGATCTTTTCCTAACTTGCGACTCCGTTGATATTACCTGTGAGCGTTTTACTGACGTTTTTCTAAATTTTGCTAATTTATGTATTCCATCTAAAGTGGTCACTTTAAGACCAAATGACAAACCTTGAATGACCTCCGAACTAAGTAAAAATTTGAGAATTCGAGATAGGTTGCACAAAATGGCGAGGTCAACCAAGCTTCTTTCGGATGTTAATAAATTTAATTCTCAACGTTATAAGGTTAACAACATGAAAAAGCATGCCCGTTTTATATTTTTTCTAAATGTTCAAGGTATAATTGAAGAGTATTCGTCCTCTGATCCTTAATCTTACTGGAGACTTATTAAACGGTTTATGAAATCCACTGGTACTTCACAATCTATACATCTGTACCTACACTTGTAGATCCTCATACTGACAATGTTGTTACTTATGACGAAGATAAAGCTAACTTACTAAATGACTATTTTTGTAATATAACACGAGTAGATGATACTAACAATGTGGTTCCTATTGTTGAGCCAAAAACTGACAAAACGTTCAGCTCTTTTAGAGTAAATAGTAATGAAATTCGAGACGTTATAAAGATATTGAAGCTTGGCAAGGCCCCGGGTGAGGATGGAATCAGACATTATATGTTAAGAAATACCTCATGTACAACAACTTGACTCCAGATTATTTACGATCTCCTGCCAACTACTATTGCAGAAAATAACAGGTACACTCTTAGAAATAACAGTGATTATAGAGTTCCTCTATTTGGGCTTTCTCTTACAAATCTTTCCCTTATACCTTCCACTCTGCGTAGCTGGAACTCCATAGATCTATCAGTACGATCGTTGCCTTCTATACATTTATTTAAAAACCTTCTTACTTCAAATGTACAACCATCCCCTCCTATATACTTCAGGTTTGGAGAACGTAAATTGAATATTAAACATACTAAACTGAGGCACTATTGTAGTTCCCTTAAGTATGACCTTTACAAGTTTCAAGTTTTATTTTACACTCATGACACACGAGGTGTGTTACAAGAGGTCAACATTTTAATACATTTCAATTACATAGCAAAGTGAGTACAGATTGTGTATACAACATGTAAATATATAATACTACAGAATAATAGCACTGCATTTATCTTATGTCACTTTAAGCCTTAATTGTTTTCTCTAGAAAACGACTTATTTTAGGTAAAACATGTAAATAACAAATAGAAATCATTCCTTTTAGCTTAAAGTTGCTTGGGTTTGTAGTGTAATAATTATGGATATATATTTTTCTTATTGATGATATATAAGTATTTTGGCATTTAAACAAATAATGTGGTTCGTCACCTATACCTGTTTGACACAAAGGGCATATTCTATCTGATTTTGGAGTTGCATTCCAGCGTCCAGTCTCTATTGGGAAATTTAGGTTAGACGTGCGGAATTTACAAATAATTTTCCTATCTTTTTCATTAAATTTTGTTAGATATGATTCATACTGAAAGTTTGTCTTAAATATGGAGTAGAAGTTACCACGAGAAAAGTTTTCTATCTCTTGGAACCATTTCTGTATAAATTGATCTTTTAACCGCTGTTTAACTACAGCTTTGAAATGATTTCTATTCATAGTACAAGTATTTTGAAAAATCCACAAATTATTAAAACCTAACTTGTTTAATATATTTTTTATGTAATTATTCCATTTAAAATGCATTTGTTCATTTGATTGTGAAACATATGTCATTTTGTATATCAGACTAGATATCTTGCTCCCGCCAGTTAACAACTGAAACCAGAACATGATCATTCTTGTCTTGATTTCTACTTCCAGAGGATATCTTCCGGTTTCTCCATAAATCATGTAATTCGGAGTAGAATTTTTCACATTCATGATTCTTTTACAAAATTGCAAATGCAGTCTTTCTATGGTAATAGTGTTTTCGAATACCCATATCTCACAAGCATACAATAGGATCGGTGAAACAAGAGAATCAAATAACTTAAGTTGCAAATCAACAGACAATGGAATATTTCTTATTTTCTTGTACAATGCATATAGTGCTTTTTTAGCTTGTTCAGTTATTTTTGTTTTTGCTTTACTAAATGTACCATTGCTATTAAATAATATGCCCAGTTACTCTTGTCGAAGGCCATTTTGCATCTGTGGACATCCATGTGAGAATGTCTTTCACTTTTTCTTTGAGTGTCAACTTTTTAGCGATGAAAGGCGTATTTTGCTTCGAAATTTGAATGCCTTAGATATAGATTTAAATTTAGAGCTTCTTTTGTTTAGCAGTTCAGATCTTTCGGTGGACCTTAACTCTTTACGTTTTTAGACATGTTCATCACTTCATCAAATCCAGCTAAATATTTTGAATGTTTTTTTTAAAAGTTGTGTATTTGTACCTGTGAGAATATTATATATATATCTACCTCATGTTCATGCTTATTATCATTGTTAACATGCAATTGTAAATGTATGACGCTAGAAGGCTGTGATAAGTTGTAATAACTTGTGCCCAATCCCTTGTCCAACTTTATTGGCAATAAATATTGTTAAAGTAAAAAGTATTGGAAGAGAACCGGTAACTGGTGCGTCGGTCGACATGATACACGACAGTCTGTAACGTCAACGACCAAGTTTCACGACATTAAATAATAATATAAGGACGCCATAAAAAACTACTACATCATGAACGTGAAACACTCAGAGATCAGGGCCCATACTTATGAAACCGTTCTCATGTTCAAGCATGGATTCTGTGCTCAAGGCAACTTTCTTTTAAAGCACTTAAACCATGTGATATGGAAAAAGATCCTGTGTAACCATTTAAAACAATATTCGTTTTGAAGTATCTTCAAAACTTTTCCAAATCCTTAACAAGATGTGTTTTGTTTCTAATTTATCACTATAATAAGAAAAATGGGCATGATTACAGATTCCGCGCTTGAGCATGAGAATGGCTTCATGAATACGGGCTTAGATGTTGTTTTCTGATAGAGTCGAGAAATGAATACGGGCTTAGATGTTGTTTTCCGATAGAGTCGAGACATGCATACGGGCTTAGATGTTGTTTTCTGATAGAGTCGAGGCATGAATACGGGCTTTGATGTTGTTTTCTGATAGAGTCGAGGCATGAATACGGGCTTTGATGTTGTTTTCTGATAGAGTCAAGGCATGAATACGGGCTTTCATGTTGTTTTCTGACAGAGTCGAGACATGAATAGGGGCTTTGATGTTGTTTTCTGATAGAGTTGAGACATGAATACGGGCTTTGATGTTGTTTCTGATAGAGTCGAGACATGAATACGGGCTTCGATGTTGTTTCTGATAGAGTCGAGACATGAATACGGGCTTTGATGTTGTTTTCTGATAGAGTCGAGGCATGAATACGGGCTTTCATGTTGTTTTCTGATAGAGTCGAGACATGAATAGGGGCTTTGATGTTGTTTTCTGATAGAGTCGAGACATGAATACGGGCTTAGATGTTGTCATGCAAGCAGTGAACGACATAACAGAGATTATTTAATTGATTGTTTATGTATTTATAGTTGTTGTAACATTGTCATCATTCGAGGAAGATGGACGACGGGTAATGCAGAAGGACACCAACAGGATCAGCGATATGTCAAGTGATTGGCTTATGATTACGTAAACAAGTATTAAACTACGGAACAGGTCTAGAATTCACAAAACTTCTTAACTATCATTACAAATAAAGTTACTAAATATTACAAGGACGTTTACTGTTAGAGCATAGTCTATATTATCGACACTGTTACATTCATTGTTATACTATATTCCAACATAAATAATTATCATCTATGGACTTTTGTTGAGATGAATATATAGTTATATGCACCCGAGAGAGATATTAACCGAGGCGATGTCACAAATCACTGACCTGCACGTGAGTATTACCTCGCCACTGAGCATGTCGGAAAAAGTTATATTTCCTACTGTTCCCTGGTACTATCCTTTAAAGTTTTATTATTTTTCTTTGCGAGGGTTTTAATTCGTTAGAATAATTAAAACTGATATATCTCACTTACAAACTTTGAATGTAATTTGGGTACACGTTCGACTCTCCCCACGCATTAACTCAATATGTGTGAAATATTTATTGATAAAGTATATGGGTCAGTTTGATTAATGAGATCCTGTACCGGAAATCCCCCACGTTATCTATCCATCACTGTCACTGGTTTTCTTCACCTGCCACATCAAACTTCATTACTTCAATCGCACGTACATTTCAACAAAATTCCTTTTTGAGATAAAGCAACGGTAGACATTTTATTTATTTTTCACACTGGCGCCATGATACTGTTATCAGAGTTCTTTTAACATAGCCCAAAGAAAATTGTTCCGCTTTCTTGTAACGAGTTATAACTGTTAAGTACAGAGTTTATCCGAAACATCACGTGTTTTCATACTAAAAATTATATTGTCTTCAAAAAGGAAATACAATGCAAGCGGAGCCATTGTAAAATTACTTGTAATGTCCAATTCATTGTATTCGGGATGCACAGATAGCACCAATATTAATTTGATTTCGTTTGATTTTGTTTATTGTCCCACTAAGTTCAGTTTAATTCATTGGATGACGTGGCTCCATGAGTGGGATTTATGTGTGCTTGTGTGTACATGTATGTTGGAGGCAGAGTATGTTGGTGTATTTGCTTCCTGGTGATAGCGTGGATCTGATGCCGAGTGCTTCCTCACTGAACTACCATACAACAGGCACGTAGCACAGCATTCCGCCCGGTCACATTATACTGGATCAACCAGTTGTCGCCATTGCCCTAAATGCCGAATATTAAAAAGGGAATAATAACTACCATTTTAAAGGATTTTGGTGTGTCCCAGCCTGGGGACAGAAACCATTGCCTACTTCTCTTGGGTAAACACTAAACACAAAGGCCAAGAGGAAGGTATTACCAAGCAAGCCACTAGAAAAGAAAATATTTTCAAGAAGAAGAGAAAAAATGCAAAGATCCCAAATTTTCCAAAGGGGGCATAAGATCAATTGTAGTTTCTTGTTGAATTTTAGATGCAAAGGTGGTTGTCGTCTTTTTCAACGAAACCTAACCACAGCCATATGAACTGTAGATTTGTAGAGGATAGGTTTTCAATGTCGTGTTCTGTACTTTACGCAAATTGTTTTTATTTACACTAATGTAGCTAGCGTTTCTTATTTTGATGTTACACTGGCAATAAGATCCCGAACATTGTATGCATGTTATGCGTGGAATTCACTTCATGCTTGTTTTCCGTTTCCTATCATAATAATATTACATTTGTATGTGTGAATCTATAATGATGATAATATTACATTTGTATATGTGAATCTATAATGATAATAACATCACATGTGTATGTGTGAATCTATAATGATGATAATATTACATTTGTATATGTGAATCTATAATGATAATAACATTACATGTGTATGTGTGAATCTATAATGATAATAATATTACATTTGTATGTGTGAATCTATAATGATAATAACATCACATGTGTATGTGTGAATCTATAATGATGATAACATTACATTTGTATGTGTGTATCTATAATGATGATAACATTACATTTGTACGTGTGAAACTATAATGATAATAACATTACATTTGTAAGTGTGAATCTATAATGATAATAATGATTTACTGAATGCCGCGGCTTGTTTTCTAAAAGATACTTAAATTTCTAATCAATTATCAACGAATGATTTTATTTAAAACCGACAGGATTTACTGAAGGTAGCCTTAGTATAATTAGCATAAAATCAGTCGTTGTCTGTATTATTAAGGATCACGGTCCCGCTGTTATTAATAACACCCCCTATATATATATCTGTATCACAGTTGGTCCAGGACACTTATCTCGTAACACTTTATACATGAATTTTCAAACTTTTGATCATAAATGGACGAAAAAGCCATATGGTGCTATTAAAACGTTAACATTGTTTGTCACTTTGCATCGACTTGCTTAAGTTTTAAATAGGTTCTTTCTCATTCATACTTCTGTGTTTATTGTAATTAAAACTCATCGCAGTGTGAAAATGTTCGCATTGTGAACTTTTTAACTGATTGCAGTTTGAAAAATTTCGCGTTGGTTATATTTCTGAAATGTACATATTCTTTTGATCTATAATCTATAAATACATATTTGCGTTTGGATATTTTCGTGCTAATTTGCTCTCAAAGCGACAAATTTGAACATTTCCACGCCGCGAAAATTCCCACATTTACAGAAATAAACAGCAACATGAATGTTATATACGTTCTTTTATTCATTAATAGATACATAAGGCTTTATGTACAACTATATAACACAGTTACAGAAGATATTACCATGATACCGCGTACATTGTACAGTATTACACATTAAATACTTTATGGTCTAGTTAATCTGTTTATCACTTACTAACTTAGTAACTGTCAATGTGCAACTGTCGCAAAAACATTTTTTTTTTATTCGCGAGGACTTTACTTCGGCAAGCTGTACAAAACTAGATGAATTACTTGTCTTAAATTGAAATGATTAATACATTTTCGTTATATTTTGGAGTTTGTTGTTCGTTGCAGACTCTTGTAAAATAAACTCCTAGCGAATCCAAATGTATTCCTGGAACATATTCGGGGGATGTTAATGTCACCAACAGCCAATTATTTAGCTTATTATTCAATCCACGAATAAAGAGAGAAATAATTTTCTGCGAAATATAACAGCTTTTCAGTGAATAGTAGTGACAGACAGTTACCGTACTACTGAATGAAACTGCTCCATTTAAAGGTATGTAATTTAGAGTGGTTATCTCCATGAAATCACACGACTGAGTAAAGACATATATTTCTTCAAATTAACTGTTATTATAGTTGTAATTTGGACTCTTGAAACACGCTTACACACACATACACATGACTAAGGTAGTAAGTGAATGTTCTAATTAATCCTAGAAAGGTCTTAGAACACCCACATCAGAACATTACCATATTCAATGCCTAACATATAAGTACAATGTAAACGTAAGAACAATAATCACACCTACACACAATACTGTAATAATGCTTTTCTGAGTAAGATCATATCACACACACCTCCCTGCCATAATGAATATTACATTGTTACCACGACAACATCCCGCGCGTGAGCAGTTGATCAATGAAATATAATTATCACACATTCATCACTGGATTCATTTTTACAACATAATTACTTAAACAGTTGGATTTCTTGTATACTTATATTTGGTATCCGACGTCATACATAACTATATAAGCACGTGTTAAAGTGACGTATGACTGACGTCACCCCTTGTATTCCATATAAGCACGTGTTAAAGTGACGTATGGTATGATGTCACCCCTTGTATTCTATATAAACACGTGATAAAGTGACGTATGGTCTGATGTCGCCCCTTGTATTCTATATAAGCACGTATTAAAGTGACGTATGGTCTGACGTCACCCCTTGTATTCTATACAAGCACGTGTTAAAGTGACGTATGGTCTGACGTCACCCCTTGTATTCTATACAAGCACGTGTTAAAGTGACGTATGGTCTGACGTCATCCCTTGTATCATGGACGGTATACACTCATTGGCTTGCATTTGTATATCTCCAGCTGAAATGAAAAAAAGTTGTAGCATTAATATCATTTAAGTAATATCTTTTTACTTGACATGCCGTATATACTAAGAACTGTTCAGATTACCATTCTTTTCAAATATACATGTACATCAAAATCATATTCATTTGTTATTTTATCTAAAAGAAAAATACGCACATTTTGCATATACATTCATGTATATATGTCATATATATATATATAACATACTTGAACTTGTACTGAAGGTAAATAAATTTCAATAACGTTTAAGATGAGAAATATTCTAGTCCGAAAAAACTGACCATATCCTCATCTCTGCCCAATCAAATCGTTTTTTCACAAGAGATGGTAAGTCATTTCCGGTTAAACTATCCTTGATGTAAGGAATGTTGGTGAAACTTTTGCCTTGTAGATCGATTGTGTCTCTATGGTGTTCAGTTTAAACAGGTTTCATTTGTATCTCATCGTTACAGTTTATTATCGCATAAATGTGACCCTTACTTTGCTTATGTCCAACCTGGTAGTGCCTAACCTCTCCAGGTGACTTTTATTACGATACAGGTATATTACTCAATAAGATTCCCGTATATATTGCACTAATTTGCCTGATATATTTAGTTTTAATATCTAGACAAGCGATGCTTCTATCTAACGCCACTTAAAGTAAAACAAAGAAAAACAAAATGCCAAATGACACTTTCTATAATAAATTATTTTCTTAGGTTTTTCAATATAATGGCATCTTTAGTCAGCCATTGGTACAAATTATGTTGTTTTGAAGCGCAGTGCATACGCCATAACACACAATGTCAAACTTGTCTAGTGCGACAATCTAAACAGTTAAGAAGACCTGAAAGCCATGCAAGGAACAATACACTTATGAACTATTATAATATCATTAAGAGACGGATGGAAACGTTGATTAAGCATCTAGCTCTGCCTCCGGGGAAAGGTAATTGTAACATAAGGTCGGACATATCATAAACATTATCCACCAATAGATCTTCACTCTGACAAGATGTGAACTTTTTATACGAAAGTCAGATTTGTCAATGTCACATGGCTATATTATTTGCTGCGGTAGACATCTTGCTGTTGGCGTAGTATCTTATTGACGTTTATACTATTGTTGACATTTAAATTCAACACTTCACATTTATATTAATGACAACACGTGCGTGCTAATTACTAAATATTGACTTGGTTTAGATTTATAAAGTCCCATTATCTCTGCGAGTCATAATATCATATTTTTATTTAATAAATTTAAAAAAACCGTTTTACAGATATAGTTAAGTTTCTTGTTCATAAACAGTTTTCTAAAATTTATTATTTCTGAAAATAAACTTGATGACACTTTGTGCTAATTCCTTGTCAAGCTTGCCAGTATTTCAACATTTGGTTGTTCCTGGTGTGTTTTTACAAAGCTAAGACCTATGATACCGTATATGGGATGTATCTGCCTTCCTGTTGTGATTAGGAAATGTGTTAAGTTAATGCAGGAATGATTTATATAAGATACTTTGTACTAATACAATTATGTAAACGAATTCAAAACAAAGATATATACACTTGTACAATGATGTAGACTCAATGCATAAACATTGGTATTATACAATCATGTGAACTAAATACATGTTTTTGTAATGATATCATTATTTTTAAATTCAAATTAAATGAAATACAACTAATGATATACTGGTAGTGAATTTCGTTTCTGGTCTCGGAACGAAAACCTCAGCTACTTGTTGACGATGCAGAGATGTTAAAGTGTTTCATGTGAAAAACCTGCTGACCTCTTATGTTATGATAAAATTTAATAGAGTAAATATTTCTTCTCACGAACGATAACCTGATTGAGATAGTGACAATGACAAACATGGTGCCGAGCCCGTATACTAGCAGCTGTTACAGACTAGCTGAGAGCCATGTCATCATTAATAAAACGTGTGATTTATAACTACAAATTCATACTTCATATTTCTTAGTTATAACAGATATCTAAAGAACACGTATATCCTATGTTTTATCATTAACTTCTCACGGCCAGTTATGGCACATTCCATTGACACATTTTTTTTTATTAATTATGTATTGAATTCCTCTATAGGCTCACGCACGTTACATATTTTGATATTTAGTCATCAAATGTTACTAAAACCATGGCCATACATTAAACTTATCATCTGTACATTCTCACATTTTGTACAGTATTGGCATTTTATTTTAAATACATTTATATAATTAATAGATGAACTTCAATGATCTCCTTCTGTATGAAGCGCATGCTTTCGGAATTAACAACACCACCACGCAGGCTGAGGAAGACATACAAGTGTATAGGGTGTTATCAAGTCGAAACCTGCTGCCACACAGGAATCCGTATTATACCGTATTCGGCGTAGACAAGTTACAAGATATAATGTAGGAAAGCATGTACAAGGAAGTTACGTCACTGCAATGTTTAACATTTGTTTAACATACGTATTGATGTTAAACAGTTGCAGTTTTCTTAAGCTCAAAACATTTTAGAATGCTTCGTTTGATTAAATAAAAAAGGATTGGATAAAAGTTTTGCAATCCCAAATTCTAAACGTTCTCTTCAATATTGATAGCCAAATCTTCTTAACATCAAATTTATATAAATTTAAATTTGATTTTCATTTTTAAATATTAGTTTTAATACAATGAAGGATTTGTTGAAGATGGCCTGATGTTATACTCAAGTCGGATGTTTCCTTAGCTTTATATAACTCGAGACAATGCCACACCATATCGCATGAATTATCATCAACCGCTGACAAAGAACCAGAACCGTCCATGTGTGACTGAGAGGCGCTAACCCTGAACCCTATATGTCACTTAACGGTAGGACGTTATGCCTGGCTGATTCTGTGCTCCCTAGTAAATGTAGAGAGCGCTGGTGCTATGCATGTACTAGGTAATTTTAATTGACAAATAATACGAGTTGGTTTATCTTCACATACACTGCTTATTTTATCTCCACATATACATATGTGCTTCTAATTAGTATACTCTTTATGAATCTTAAATTGATATTGGTATTATATGAAGTTAAACATAAGAGTTTAGTCACGTGTTATAGGTGAAATTCTTGTAAAAGTTTGATGTTCATGTGGAAACCCCTTGCCCTCTATAAAGGATGCTAGTTGTAATACTTTCACAGAAACTACTTATTTTAATCTTCACATATACCACTAATTATTATACTCTTTTTGAGCCTTAAATTGATATTGATATTATATGATGTTAAACATAAGAGTTTAGTTTGTTATAGGTAAAATTCATTAGAAAGTTTTTATGTTCATGGGAAAATCTATTACCCTCGATTAAACAGATGACTTGGTCATAAGCATAAAGCATGCAACCAATACATGTTTAAATGAATGTTAGATAATACGTACGTTGTCCATTTCTCCTATGAAATTATTTAGGCCCCATCCATGCCCGATCTGTATTGCACAAGCTCGCCTCTCAATAAGACCTAGAATAAAAATATCCAGATATTGATAATATTGTAGAACGTGAAATCAATACAGATAAAAAGAAATATGACGATTTTTATGTTAATCTTTGTTATTGCGTCTTTATAATTTACCCAGACAACTCGTGGAGGAACGTACTTACCTGGTACAGTCCTCGTAAATACTCTCTCGTTCGCTCGACCTTGGAGCTTTCCATCGGCTAGCTTTAACTCGACCATCTTCCAATCCGTTTTCTGTAAACATACAAAAATTACAGTAATAAAGAAATACCACAAGGACAAAACATACCACAGCGTATATACACAAGGACAAAACATACCACAGCGTATACACACAAGGACAAAACATATCACAGCGTATATACCACAAGGACAAAACATACCATACCGTATATACACAAGGACAAAACATACCATAACGTATATACACAAGGACAAAACATACCATAACGTATATAACCAAGGACAAAACATACCACAGCGTATATATACAAGGACAAAACATACCACAGCGTATATATACAAGGACAAAACATACCACAGCGCATATATACAAGGACAAAACATACCACAGCGTTTATACTACAAGGACAAAACATACCACAGCGTATATACCACAAGGAAAAAACATACCACAGCGTATATAAGGACAAAACATACCACAGCGTATATACTGCAAGGACAAAACATACCACAGCGTATATACCACAAGGAAAAAACATACCACAGCGTATATAAGGACAAAACATACCACAGCGTATATAAGGACAAAACATACCACAGCGTTTATACTAAAAGGACAAAACATACCACAGCGTATATACCACAAGGAAAAAACATACCACAGCGTATATAAGGACAAAACACACCACAGCGTATATACACACGGCCAAACATATCACAGCGTATATACCACAAGGACAAAACATACCACAGCGTATATACCACAAGGGCGAATTAGGAACTCAAAGTAGACATGCAAAGAAAAGAAGAAAAGCAACGGAGGAAAAACGTACACCTTATTAACTTGAGGTGGAACTATTTATCCTAAAGGTAAGATTTTGCCTTGGTATCAGTTATATGCAAAAACTGATTGCAGTATTGATTTGGAGGAGGAAAAGATTATTTTTCTATATGAGTTAGCCTTGTTTGAAGTAATTGTAATTAAAACAGTGCAGTCAGAATATTTTATTTCTTTATATTCCTGTGATATGCGTACAGAACTATATACACTTTCTCTATGTTATTTACTGTGACGTGGTGTCCTACTTGTTTTCAAATGCTAAGACTCTATCTTTACGTAAGAAGAAAATACATGGAACATGAAATAAAAATGTTATGGTGCATTACATAGCTGTTATAGATTGCTTACATTTCGTGCTTATTCAGTCGACTGCTGATTCAAATATATTGCGAATATGTATTCAAGAACAAAAACGTATTTCTCTTATTTCCCTTTTGTGACTACAAATACCTACGAAACAGGTCAACGGTATCAACTGTCGGTAATTGACAGCCACTAAGAAACAGAAAACAATAATTACGTACCGGTTTCTTTATTCTAAAACTGTACATATCTCGTGTTCTATCCGTGTCGACACCAAACCGGATGCCGATTGGATCTGTTGCTATGACGATAGATCCATCTCTCCCGCAATCACCGTTGCTTATTAGTGCGGAATTGGAATGAGGTGAGCCCTCCTTTTCTCGGTAGCGAATACGCACAGTAAATGTATGTCCAAAGTCATCATTTGTAAATCGCTGAATTAATAGTTCGGACTTGCCATCAAATATAGCTTTTCCGTTTTCCACTTTCACTCCCTTATTGGTAACCCACAAATAATTCCCGGAAGTGTCCTGGACATCCTTATCGAAATCTAAAATCACTTCTGCTTTACAATCTGCAAAGAAAGAAAAGTTTTGAGTTATACACACAGACATTCTATGCATACTTGTATTTTTTAAGTAAAACATATCATTCATATAGGTTCTTTATGCTGAGCATAGGTAATCCATTTATATTCCAATATGTTATCGATTAGGAAAGATAACTGGTAGGTTTCTTAGTGGAAACTCATTTTGGTCTGTCGATAAGGTATTATAATAGTTGGTCTGTCGATAAGGTATTATTATAGTTGGTCTGTCGATAAGGTATTATCATAGTTGGTCTCTACCTGTATCTTTGTTGCTGAGACTTGCGGAGAACTCGGAACATCTGCATTCCTTGATGTCAAAGTTAGTCCCGGGAGCACAAGGCAAAGTCATCAAGCCGTGACCTTCGACGTTTCTTTGATAGAAAGCCGCGTTACCAGGCAAAGCCTTATCCTGACAGACTGTTTAAAAATATACAATATAAGTGGTATCATACTTCATACAAGTCAGTATAATATACAACTATGGTTTAATATGACAAGGCCAACTAAGAACCATACACAAATAATGTTCTGAAGTTTCTACGCAGAAAGGATTCCTGGTTAACAGGGTATGTCGATTGTCTTTTTACAACAGCGTCGTCAAGGTATTTAAAAAGTTGCCAAATAAAGACAGCGTCATCAAGGTAATTAAATCTTCCCCAAAATAAAGACAGCGTCGTCAAGGTAATTAAATAGTTGCAAAGATAAAGACAGCGTCGTCAAGGTATTTAAATACTCACCTAAATAAAACCAGCGTCGTCAAGGTATTTCAAAAGTTGCCAAGATAAAGACAGCGTCGCCAAGGTATTTAAATAGTCGCTTAAATAAAGACTGCGTCGTCAAGGTATTTAAATAGTCGCCTTAATAAAGACAGCATCGTAAAGGTATCTAAATAGTCGCCTTGATAAAGACTGCGTCGTCAAGGTATTAAAATAGTTGCCTAAATAAAGACAGCGTCGCCAAGGTATTTAAATAGTTGCCAAGATAAAGACAACGTCGTCAAGGTATTTTAATAGTCGCCAAAATAAAGACAGCGTCGCCAAGGTATTTAAATAGTTGCCAAGATAAAGACAGCATCGTCAAGGTATTTTAATAGTCGCCTTTATAAAGACTGCGTCGTCAAGTTATTAAAATAGTTGCCTTAATGAATACAGCGTCGTCAAGGTATTTAAAAATCTCCTAAATAAAGACTGCGTCGTCAATATATTTAAATAGTCTCCTAAATAAAGACAGCGTCGCCAAGGTATTTAAATAGTCGCCTAAATATAGACAGCGTCGCAAAAGGTATTTAAATAGTCGCCAAGATAAATACAGCATCGTCAAGATTTTTAAATAGTTGCCAAAATAAAGACAGCGTCGCCAAGGTATTGGAATAGTCGCCTATATAAAGACAGCGTCGACAAGGTATTTAAATATCACCAAGATAAAGACAGCGTCGTCAAGATATTTAAATAATCACAAAGATAAAGACAGCGTCGCCAAGGTATTTAGATTGTCGCAAAGATAAAGACAGCGTCGCCAAGGTATTTAAATTGTCGCCAAAATAAAGACAGCGTTGCCAAGGTATTTAAACTATCGCCAATATAAAGACAGCGTCGATTAGGCATAGAAAACGTCAAGGAAAAAAAAAGTCGCCAAGGCATAGATACATTAATTAAGTGTCACCGAGAAAGAGAAGCGGTATCAAGGTATAGAAAGTGCCACAACGATTGCACATTTCTGCCGTCGACCTACGACTTAAGATTTACGTATGACGACATATTTGTTTTAGGAGATACTTGCATAATCTATGATAAAAAATATGCTTTTATCGATATAAGGTTGGTGTGATTTTCTTGTGATTTGAGTTTATACATTCGTATAAATAGTAAAAATTGCAAAATACTTTTGATAGATAAAATGGCTTTCTGCATTGTGAAATAGAAAATGACATTCAAAAACCGTTAAGTGATTTCAACTTCAGCTAATTTCAATTATTTTTAATACATTGTCATATCAATATAGAGATGTGCTGAGTACATACCTGTTTTCTTCGGGGGAGTGTAGGACCAGGTGCACGTAGGGGGGCAGGTCCGGTCTCTGACGCACCCGTCACTGGCCTTGTAGGCATAACCAGGGGGACAACAGCGCTGTATTGCATGTCCATCTTCACAAAACCAGTAGGCCTGGCAGTGGGCGTTGTTGGCATAGCGATGTACCAGCAAGTTATGACACATATCTACAAAAAACATGGACAGAATTGTATAATATGTTTAATATGTCTGGAAAACATTCAAATACACAGCGGTTAAAAGAAGGAAGTGAAGAGAAATGGATATGTTATTATAACTGAATAAAGTATTTGCTTTCCGTCGTTTAACGAAAGGACTTGAAGAATTTGTCTAAGAATATACCATCGAAAAGGAAAGAGTAGAAAAGAGAACGAATAGATCCCAAGTTTTGTTTTCTTCAACGACCTCTAAGCAGAAAACTCATAAGAAATCCCCGATTCTGAAAGGGAGCTCCTCATTAATCTTACGATAACATTCAGTGAGGAATTGCAATATGGCATTTTAAATACGATTAATAGAACCTGGATAATATACTTACCATGAATACAATTGACTCGGACGGCATAGTCACACGTGAGTTCCTCTTGGCTCCAGAATTGGCCGACAGGACAATTCTTATAAAAGGCAGTGACGTTTTTCCCAGTGAAGAAACACTGGACGTATTTACTACAGTCAGTAGGATGAGGGTTGAAGCCGGCACCGTTTACCATCTTACATCCGAGGCAGGGATCTGTTCAGTTAATGTGATAGTACTATTAATTATGTTTAACAGTGAACGTGTATTTATAAGACACTCATTAATAAACGAGGATTATGAGGTTTAATTGAATTAATATTGTTCTTTTCATAATGATATTGACATTTACATGTGAAGAACTGTAAAGGGAATGTAACTAATGATTCGATAAATAAATCGTAGGTTTATGAAACGTTATCACCTAATTGATAATTTAAAAGGAAAGTCAAATAAGATACTTTCATAATAACTTAAATTAATACTATAACATACATGGTCCAAATGATTTCTATCTAATGAAACATACTATATAATGAACAAACTTTAAATTGGCCGAAAAAAACATAAACATGTAAAGTTGACATGAATCTTGATACCGCTGTGTTATACACACAAGTAACATGACCATAACGCCATAGAGAGAGCTATGCTATTCATAATTCGCACATAATTCCCATTGATGTAGTGATATGAAGAACATGTTTGTGACGTCGTGACTAAATAACGTCGTTTTGACCGACGTCACTATATTCATTGTATTATTGACGTCACGAAACAATTGTAACAATACGCAATCCTGGTGGTAGCTCGTCCGTGCTACCGGATTAAAACACCCAATTGATCAATGTAACTCGCAATAATTTATGTAGTTATGATGTATAAAAGGTGTATATACTCACGGTGGAATATATTGATTAAATTGTTGAAATTAAATTGATAATTTTGTATTTATTTTCACGAACTATATTATTTTGCCGGGGACGATCGCGTGTACTCGTGACGTCACAAGAACAGGTCCCATTGACAGACAGCGCGAAATTTGACTTTGAAATGCTATAACAGGTTGGAAATATAAGAAACATTTAGAATAGAAACGGAAATATAAGTACTAAACTGCCTTCTTTTGAAAGTTAGTGTCCTAAAATTATTACAGGATTGCAGACAAATTAACCTTAACACGCTAACACGCGTTATTCAATTTGTCTGAAATCCTGTGAGAATCATAGGACAATAACTTTCCAAAGAAGGCAGTTTAGTACTTAAATAACTATCCCCTGCTTACATCTACCACCAGTATATAACTACCATCTATATGAAGCTATAACCTTCTACAACTATCACCTTCTTTGACCAACTCCCTGAGTGTCCATGCAAACCATCTCATTATAACTTTTGCTCTCTATCTTGGCAGTTGTTTTTATATAAGTTTATCGTTTACCAATTATATGTACTCACTGAAGCCTGGAGGAGGCGTCTCTAGGACCCCAGTGGTTGTAGTGAACCTTCTAGTAGTAGTAGCAGGCAAGGTTGTGGTGGTTTTCGGTGTTGGAGTTGTAGTGATGGGCGGGCGTTTCGTAGTACCTCTTGTTTTCCAAAACCAAGTCCATAATGGAGGTTTAGTTGGCCTTGGAGTAGGGCGTGGAGTTGGTCGGGGAGTTGGTCTTGGTGTAGGGCGTGGAGTTGGTCGGGGAGTTGGTTTTGGTGTAGGGCGTGGAGTTGGTCGTGGAGTTGGTCGTGGGGTTAGTCTAGGAGTAGGGCGTGGAGTAGGTCGGGGAGTTGGTCGTTGAGTTGGTCGTGGGGTTTGTCTAGGGGTAGGGCGTGGAGTAGGTCGGGGAGTTGGTCGTGGAGTTTGTCTAGGGGTAGGGCGTGGAGTAGGTCGGGGAGTAGGGCGTGGAGTTGGTCGTGGAGTTGGTCGTGGTGTTTGTCTAGGGGTAGGGCGTGGAGTAGGTCGGGGAGTTGGTCGTGGAGTTTGTCTAGGGGTAGGGCGTGGAGTAGGTCGGGGAGTAAGGCGTGGAGTTGGTTGTGAAGCTGGTCGTAGGGCTTGTATAGGGGTAGGGCGTGGAGTAGGTCGGGGAGTTTGTTTAGGAGTTGGTCTAGGGGTTGGATATGGAGATGGTCGAGGAGTAAGTCGTGGAGTTGGTTTAGGAGTTGGTCTAGGAGTTGGTCTTGGTGTGTGTCGAAGAGTTGGTTTAGGAGTTGGTCTAGGAGTGGGATGTGGAGTTGGTCGAGGAGTAAGTAGTGGCATTGGTCTGGGTGTGTATCGAGGAGTTGGTTTAGGGGTTGGTCTAGGAGTGGGATGTGGAGTTGGTCGAGGAGTAAGTCGTGGCGTTGGTTTGGGTGTGTGGCTAGGTGTTGGTCCAGGAGTTGGTCTTGGGGTTTTAAGTGGAGTTGGTCTAGGAGTTGGTTTTGGGGTTAGACGTGGAGTTGGTCTTGGGGTTTGGAGTGGAGTTGGTCTAGGAGTTGGTCTGGGGGTGTAACGAGGCGTTGGTTTAGGAGTCAGTATTGGAGTTGGACGTGGTGTTGGTCGAAGAGTTAACCATGGGATTGGCCTAGGAGTTTGACGAGGGATTGGTCTAGGTGTGGGACGTCGAGTTGGTCTTGGTGTTGGTCGAGGAGTAAACAATGGGATTGGCATCGGAGTTTGACGAGGTGTTGGTCTAGGTGTGAGACGTGGAGTTGGTCTTGGTGTTGGACGCATGGTTGGTCGTGGAGTTTGTCGCGGAGTGGGACGCGGGGTTGGATGTGTAATTGGCTGAGGAGAAGTCATAGTAGGTGCAACACAAACGTCATATACCAATCGATCTCTAACAAAATCTTTGAATTCGTCGAAACGAGACATGTAATAGACATGGTGGCGGCCAATAGCGCCCGTCATAACGTTCAGTTCGTACATCCTCGTATTACCAGTGATGCCCACAGCGAACATATCAATGCCCTCTCGCCTAGCCAGGAACGCTTGCTGGGCAACACTAACAGGGGAAGGTGATAGGCCGTACGTCACGATCAAACCAACCCGTCGTACACCGGGCCGAAAGTTAGACGCAAACATCCGGTTCATCTCAAGCAAGCCTAGATAAATAATTGAACAAAAGGCAAAGTGTAAAGTAAAAAAGCAATCAAAGTACCACATCGCTAAAATGTAAGTAAACATTGATACAAAACGACAACAACAGGAATCGCAGACAAATCGGAATAAAAGGCAAAAAATCAAGGAACCTTACAAAACTACCGGGACGGGACCAGGTGTGCCGGAACGGTAAAATGTCCAACGATCTTAGACATTGGATCAAATTTTTGACCTTAACAAATTCTCATGGATTAAACCCCAAAAGAATATCTTCGACGTAATTTGTTAAATATTACAACACGAACAAGACGGCTTACACAATCACAAAGGACCATCGACCCTTCTCTATTACTGAATATCGCTAACTTCATTTTTTTTTACTTAATTCTGAAAATTCGACATATATTTGCACAAGTAATGGAACTACTCTGTTTTTATAATAAAACGTAAACTAACTGAGATATTTTTACAGAAAAAAACTACAGTTCAATTCCATGTAATACAGGTAATACGTGTATCGGTACCTAGGTCTGTCCGTGTACCGACGCCAGTTGTCTTGGTCTCGTAGATAAACACCTTGAGTCCATCTTTGTCTGCAGAAATGGTACGTTTCTCAACATTGGTGGCGTCGCTGTATTGAATGAAACCGATGTGTGTATTGGCTGGATAACGTGGTGACGTCATAGATTCAATGAAGTTGATAACACCGCATTTGATGTCCGTGAAATTTAGCGGCGTGATAGTATTTGAACCGTGAATTACAACTATAATATCCATCACAAGGGGACATCCTGTCAAGAAGAACGGGGTGAAACGTCATATAAAGCAAGAAAGACGAATAAGAAAATTTCGCATGTGTTACATATAAACTTCGTTTAGACCAATGGCTTTTTCGAGATGTCATATCATTCTTTAAATATGACATAGTATTGCGTTTTCATACATAAATAAAGTAGTAAAGTTCACATTCGAGTAAAACAAATATGACATCATGTTTATAAATGACTTTTTTTTTTTTTTTTTTTTTTTTTTTTTTTTTTTTTTGGGNGATAGTTCAACATGGGAGTTAGTTTGTTTGTAAACATTTTTGTTTGTAAACATTGTATAATATATCATCATTTTCATAATAATGAAATTAATTACAATCATATACCAATGTATTGGAGTAACAGTATGACAAATGTACTTACTGAATATCGGATGAGAAGTAAAAGTCATTGGTGAGGTGCCTCTTGTTAAAGGTACCGGCGTAGGCGTTGACCCTGGTGAAGTTTCCTCTGTTTCCTCAGAGCTCCCCCTTGAAGGTATTGGTGTCGGTGTCGTCCTTTGTAAGGGTTTCTCTGATGTTTTAGGAGTTCTTCTTGGAACAAAATAAACAGGAGTTGTGCGTTTCGTTGCTATGCCAGAATCGTCTGAACTTTCGGAGGAAGAGGAAGACGAGGACGAAGAAGAGGAAGACGAAGAAGAGGAAGACGAAGAAGAGGAAGACGAGGACGAAGAAGAGGAAGGAACCTGCGTCGAGGAATCGTCACTTTCACCAGAATTGTCTGGTGCTGAAGGCGATGAGTTCTCTGACGAATCCTCAGAATCCTCAGATGGATTTGCAGATTTCGGAACACGCTCTTGAGAAGAATCGTCCTTTTCCTCTGGCTTGTCTAATGATGTCACCGTTGTTGGTGTTGTGTGTTCAAAAGAATCATCTGCTTCTTTAGAATCAGGTTGTGGAGGGACATATTCTGAGACTTTATGTTCTTTACTTCCCCCTGTATTTCCTGTTTGTGTATGTGTGTTAGGATCGGCTGAGTCGTCCTTTTCTTTGGAATCAGGTTGTGAAACGGTTTTTTTTGAGGCTGAACTTTTGCGTGTTTCTATTTTTACCACTTCATTTTCCGTTTGTGAATGTTCGTATGGGTCAGCCGGGTCGTCCGTTTCGTTGGAATCAGTCTGTGAAACGATATTTTTTGAATCTGCACTTTTTAGGGTTTCTGTTTTCCCCTCTGCATTTTCCGTTTGTGTATGTGTGTTAGGATCGGCTGGGTCATCCCTTTCTTTGGAATCAGACTGTGAAACGGTGTTTTTTGAGGCTGTGCTTTCGAGGTTATTTTTATTTCCCTCTGAATTTCCTGTTTTTGTTTGTGTGTTAGGATCGGTATGGTCATCATTTTCTTTAGAATCAGTCTCTGAAACGGTGTTTTTTGAGGCTGTGCTTTCGAGGTTATTTTTATTTCCCTCTGAATTTCCTGTTTTTGTTTGTGTGTTAGGATCGGTATGGTCATCCTTTTCTTTAGAATCAGTCTCTGAAACGGTGTTTTTTGAAGCTGTACTTTTTTGGGTATCCTGACTTTCTTTATTATTTACTGTTGGGTTCTGTTTAAGTTTGTTAGAGTCACCCGATTCGTCCGTTTCCTTTGAATCAGTCTGTGAAACGGTATTTTTTGTAGAAATAATGGAATCAGGCTTTGAAATAACATGATTCGAAGAAACCTGTTGTGACAAACCATAGCTCACTCTGTCATTGTCGGATGAATCTATCTGCAGGAAAGGCGTCGTTTTATCTACCATAGTCTCAGTCGTAGAGTCGTCGCCATTGCTGGTGACGTCAGCGTTGTCATTGACAACATGCATTTTTTCCGATTCATAGTCATCATTAATAGTTTTATAATGCACTATGTTACTGGCATCTCGATGGCTGTCGTAACGTGGCCGTTTGATTGGGAATCCGGTATCTGGAAAAACAATGTTGTACGTCGTGACTTTTCATAATACAATACAATACAGAGGACTGTAAATCATGTATGTTTAGCGAGAGTTATTTTTTCGTGTTAGTTCAGAGGATATAGTCAATGTTTCAATCATACACAAGAAAACAATGATCATAAAGACATGAAGATTTTTGTCAGATTTGGACAATTAAATTCTTAATAGTCGGTAAAGTGACATTGATAAAATCTTGGCTACTGTTCTGAAAGATAAGTTGGTTTTGATGACTCAGTAGTCTTAACTTATATATATTGAAGAAGTGTAGACTGATTTTGTGTCAAATCCTAGATAAACAGTTTGAATACAAAATTTTAGCGTAACTATATATGTTTATGTCACAACTTTTTCATAATTAATGACACTATTAGCATGATAAGAACTTATTGTGACCTTCAACCCAATATGCCTACTGCAAGTTTCCGGATTGACATTGTGTGGTCAGCCAAAACTGTCGAGATTGTTTTTGATATGTTATGAGATCAATCACGTTGTATTATTAAACCTGACGTAGATTCGTGTTTGTGTCCGTAAATGTAGCGTACAATTTACATAAACTTGACGTTACTAATTTCCTGTTAGATAATTGATATAAATTATCATCAACTCTGCTTCCGTAAAAAAGATATTCTTTTCAGAATGGTTAACAATTGCTGTTTTCCTGTTGGTGTTTTGGTATTAATCGTTTTATCTATTAATTATCCTATATTGTTACGAACTCCTGCTATTATTATGCAAGATACACTTTTTTTTTAAACCGTCTAACTTTTTATCACAAGAAATCCTAGAAAATTCCTATTTATAAACCTTCAGAAAATTGTAACATGCTTGATGCTTTTAAAACTTTTTTTTCTTCCACAACTCATCTTGTTACTGGTATCATCTGTCTCCATCTTGTACCATGTCATTTCTGTAATTTCATTTGAATAATCGAAAATTACAAAATCTAACATTAGCTTTATCATGGCTATTGTTACATAATCACCTACCTACGAGGTCATCTAAAGATATTTCGTCGTCATCCCACCACAACTGGGCATGCGCAGTTACCCATAATCGGCACACGAATGACATCACTAGAAAGACCACTGTAGCATGACAAGAGGCCATTTCAAATCTGAAACAAAAAAGAGAAATATGCAAAATAATTATTAGCGATGTTGTACGGAGAATGAAATATCTACAGAGAATGACATCATCTAAACGTTTGACTGTAGTGAACAAGATCGACTATCAAAAATTACACAAATGACAAAAACAGGTCTGATGATAAGATTTTGTAAGCCCCCGACCTCTCTCTAAAAAAACAATTGGTGTTCTGAAAGGGTAAGCGAATCAAGGCGCGTCTGCACATCAGGAACATTTATGAACGAACTGAGAATAATATTTTTGAAGGATCAGAATATCACACAAAACCTTCACATACAGACGTATAAACCATTTAACAGCTTAAAGCATCGTAACACTTTCCGGCTGATAAAATTTCACAATAACGCTGAACTATAATTTCCAAAGGATTAAAACAGTATGCATTATATCGAGAAAAGACATACAGGAAAGATGAAACTATCGTTCAATTCCTTCAGGTATGACAAACGTGACGATAATAACGATATGTGACCAGACAATTTATATAGGTTCTCCGTATATTGTATTTAAAAAAATAAGCCACAGAGATTTAGATAAGTTTGTTTTATTCATCTAATTATTTGACAATTGTAGACATCCAGGATACTGACTCAGTTCCGGACCCCTGAGTTCACTTCGTCTCATGATTCAAGTACACGTATTGTGATAGTCACTATTTAACCCTCCCACTGCCTTGTTTATAGTCACGACATTATGTGTTACTCAACGTTAAGGAAACATACACCTGGTTATATCATCTAGATCCATCGCACGAACAATCACGAGGTTAAATGATGGAATTCTCGGGACACCAATTACACGTTACAGGTTGGTAGTAAAGACTGATTCTAATGGTGATACTTTGGGTAAGTATTAGTGTGACAGCTTTTACAGAAATACCAGTAAGAATTTGCAAATGAAAAGACCGATTTATTTTCATCACACGAAAATCAGGACAATATAAACGTTATACATACAGGCAATAGAAACTGACTGTGAGATTTTCATTTAAACAAGAAAGAAAACCATGCCATTCCCTTTTGATACATATGTTGGTAGCATACTGTTTATGCAAGATAACTCTGGGGTGCATGTCATGCATTTGATGTAGAAAAGGTTCATCTGCACTTTTGTAAGAAGTTAACACAAGTAAAAAAAATCATCAAATAATAATATGATATATTGTGAATAAGGTCGCTTTCCTTTAGAAATTATCAGAAAGTTCAACAGGATAAAGTATTGATTCAAACGTCTTCATAGTGTAAACTGTATTGTATTAAATTGGTATGATTTCGTTGTACACAGTCGTTGTGATAGAACTGCTTTTAACTGCGCTTACATTGTAAGGGATGACTTAAATAATTTAGGATTTGGAGAAATATGGCAAATTCAATACAGTGTTAGAAATTAAAAAATAATTCTGCTAGAGGTAAAACAAAGAATATTTGATCAGGGTGAACAGACTATACGAGTTTCAGTAGATAGTTCACCAAAATGATTTTTATATAAACATCTTTTGAAACCAACTTTTGCTCTTCACCTTTATCTAACTAAGTATATTCCTGTTAAATATAGAACATTTCTAACCTGGTCACGGACTTCTGCACATTCACTGGCTACTGATACTGGCAGATGTATAAGTGTTCCTAGAGTACTAAGGCGTTGTAAACAAAACGTAACTCCACTGGCGTGGAAGATGAATTTTACTTTCTTTTAATTTGTAGTAAACATTAAAATCTGTGAGTGAGGCTTATTAAAAATATTATTGGAAGAATCCTTCTGTTTTTGAGGCTATTCAGTTTTTTAGTGTCTAAAATAGTAACAGCTTTGTATGTTTAGGGAATTTATCTTTGCGGCTAAGAAATTAAGTACCCCTAAATTAATTATCATGTATTTAAAAGTACATCTCTCTTTACATTCTCTATATGTTGTATTCTGTATCCTGTACTGATTAGCCAATGACCTCAATTTTGAATATATCTGTAATCTTGAGCAAGTCGTAATGTAGACTAAACATTCAATTCTTCATTTCTCCTTCTTACTATTATACATATATATATATATATATATTCTCGATATGATAATGATTGAATGATACTATATAATAGTATTTGTGTATCTAATTAGAAACTTTTAATTTAAATTGGGTTATTAAATAAGTTATGAACCATACATACCTCTTGTGATTGTATAAATATCCACGATACACATTCAAAATAACTAGTGTTGTAGCGATCACTTATCAGAACGTTAGTTCATACGAATATATAATCCATATTGGACTAATATATTAGATAACAGATTCAACTCAGGTGCTAACACTCAGCAATATAAATATACTATGGAAGCAAACCTAATTAACATGATCTCACTGATGTCTTGATTACTTTGATTGGTTCCGATGACTTAGCCACGTCATATGTGTTTGTCTGTTAAAACAACAACAAATGTTAAATGTCATTTTAAAACATCGCACGAAACAAGTTGCGAACTGGTCATATACATTCAAAGCTATTGAAATCCCAAATCAAAGTTCCGCAATATCCACGTTTAAGACGTGGGAAGATATGATAAACGAGATTTAGTGATCACTCAATTTGTCCAATTGACATCACTCCCCCTCTACCGGCAACATGGAACAACAGCTTTGTGATTAGGTTTCAGTCTGAACCACATCTGTATAAAGGAGTGACGGAGGCTGGTAAGTAACATCTTGAGACGACCCCCAGGACAGTGGGCCCGTAGCCATATTCCTTTATATATATGTATAAACTTAACTATAAGATTGTGATTATCATTAGAAATACATATATTCCATTCTGTCACCGTGACACAGTTGTCATGTCATAGATGGTACTTAAAGTTGAATTAATGAGGTTTTACCTGAGAGTTAAAACCAGATAAAAAGTTGTTTGTCTGTAGTCATTGCAGCATATGAGATGGTATAACTCCAAATGGTAGTTTATTATTAAACCAACACGACTGATTAAAATTATTGCGCAATAATTCCCAAATATTTATATCGAATTATTTCATTGTTATCTACCGAACACTTCACCGAGTAAAATCTTATTTATTGTTAATCTTTTATTTGTTTTATAGGAATCTGTTGTCAATGCTAATTTATACGCAGTCAGAGTTTGTGCTCAGCATAAGAAGGGAGAGATGCTAATACAGCCAATGAACGATGTTTTAGAATGCCATGCGTTCGGTGGATAGGCCCATGTCCGTCTGCTTCAATCGCACAATAAGATATACCGGTAGGATCAGTTTTGAAAACGTTAAGTATAAGATGGTATATTCTTCATTTTACCTAAGAAGATATTATCTTGTTATCAAGTAGTTACTTGTTATGGTGTATTTGGGAAGCGTACGGATGTATGACCACTATTAGGGAACTATATGGCTCCAAACACACCGATTTCATATCTGAGTGGGACGGAAGAGTACATTATATTCCACTCTTTTTGTCATTGTTTTGGATCAGATTTTTTTTTTTTAACAAATTTCGATGTATTAAGTTGCATATATATTGTTTATATTTACTTTCATATATATTGAAAAGCAAAAACATCGGATAATATGTATCAGCGTTTGGTTTAGATAATAAACACGTGAGGCAGGAAGGTAGTGTTTTTATGAATGTTCTATCCTGTGCTGATTGAAAGGGAACTGTCGCCTGTGTATGAATCCATCATTAATCATTGCAATGTCGTAAACCAAGAGACCACTGTGTACCTGACGAAGTAATACTGAAATGGATGACATTCTTTAACTAAATAATACTGTCTGGCACCACATCCATCAGTGATCGTACATACCGTGCTTCTTTTTGCATGATATCTTTCCTTAACATTATTAATTAAATAGAAATATTGAAAACATTTAATTACATATTGATCGGTTAGCGATAACATAACGTTATTAAGTAGACTTTGGTGCGGGATAGGTGTTTGGTTATGTAAATCGCTATATAATAAATTAATTAATTTTGGCATAACGAGCTAAATTTTACAATAAAATTTCACTTTCTAAACATTGTGACAGAGACTTGACAATTAGTGTCAGTTATCTTCCTTTATATTCATTATCAACGTCGAATTATTTCCCCATGAAGCGTTGTCTGGGTAAAAATCCCTTTTGTGGTTTTCTTTTTCTTTCATGAACATTTTCGGTTTGCCAACAGAAATAGGCCAGTAAAGCACAAGTAAAGGAGAAAGCCTAACGGCCGATGAGTCAAGAAAGAAATTATGTGATAGAATAAAGAAAGAAAAAAAGAAAAAGATAAAGCTGTCAAGTAATATTGCATCTCTGGACATGTAATGGGTGCACCTGGTATATGTGAGTTTGTTAGGTGATCCTGAAGGAGGTCAGTGTAAATATACAGACAGCGGTTCCATGACCATGTGTGCATTGTCATAAGGCTAACGTAATTGGCAATGTATATCATGGAAATATTGATACACATGTAGGTGCAACTGGCTTTGTCCCAACATTTGAATATTATTATCATTACATTCATGTCTGTATGCCTGTCTCTCTCCCTTTTATAACATTCATATTTAGTATATTCTTCAATCTGTCCATGTAAATGTCCCTGTATGCCTGTCTCTCTCCCTTTAATAACATTCATATTTAGTATATTCTTCAATCTGTCCATGTAAATGTCTCTGTATGCCTGTCTCTCTCCCTTTTATAACATTCACATTTAGTATATTCTTCAATCTGTCAATGTCAATGTTTCTGTCTGCCTGTCTCTCTCCCTTTTATAACATTCACGTTTAGTATTTTCTTCATTCTGTTCATGTGAACGTCTCTGTATGCCTGTCTCTCTCCCTTTTATAATATTCACATTTAGTATAATCTTCAATCTGTCCATGTAAATGTCTCTGTAAGCCTGTCTCTCTCCCTTTTATAACATTCACTTTAAGTATAATCTTCAATCTGTCCATGTCTCTGTCTGCCTATCTCTTTCCCTTTTATAACATT